TGCTTGGCTTCCAGCGTCTGCCGGTGTTCGACGTTCCGAGCTTTCAAGACTTCTAGGTCTGAGACACCTTCGATGTGCCGCACTTTCAGCTTGATGACTTCTTCATGAAGTTTTTGGAAGTTTTCAACGGCGTTCTATCTTCTATTAGTAACAGGACCCTGGTATCTATGCCCTGTGAACTTACAGCATATTCAATGACGGCCTCTGCCTTGCGGAGGGATGCCTGATCTTGCTCACTACGGAGGTTGGCGACTCGCGTTCTCATCTGCTCGAACATTTTCTGGTTTTCCTTCTGCCTCGCTTCTTGCTGGCCTGTCGGTGTGTTAGAGTACCCAATCTGCGAAGGGTGCGACGTGTCACCTACGTATTCTCTCCGGAATAGCCCTGAATTGTGTTAGAGCTGTCTGCTTTTCTCCCTTCTCCCGCTCAAGCTCGCTCTGCAAGATCTCAGGTTAGCACACAGAAAAAATTCATGACAGCATAAGCTCAACATACCTGCTCTTGTTTGAGTTCAGTGTGTTTATGACCAAGTTGTTCAAGCCTGGCCTTTTCACCATTTATCTGCTCTTGCACCTCCTGCACTTCGCCTTTCAGTGTACGGATCTTCTGCGTGGCTCTTTGTCTCTCTGATGCATCCACTGGTTGTGATGTCCAGAATTTGGCTGGCCTCAGAGGCCTAAGCCGGGAGGAAATTGCGTCGTATTCCCTTCGCCGCATAACCGTATAGTTTAGCCTTCCAGAAACCCAGGAAATTAAGCGACCCGTTTTCAAGCGTTCGAAATCATTGTCTGCCATGTCTGCATGACTAATGGGTATCTGGTGCAGGCCCTTTTCGCTACAGAGCATAGCCAGAACTGGATCTGGTCCACTGAGACAATCCTTCGCCCAGCACTCAAATCCGAATTCGCGGAATTCGTCAGCCTCGGCTGCAGAAGGCTGAAGTCTATCTAGTGGTGTGGAACATGTTCGAATACTAATATCGGTCAACTTCTGTTCGCCGCAGAGTATCCTCTGCAAGGTCCTGAAGTCATTCCGGGTTTGCGTAGTGAAGGCCATGAAGTCCGTGCGCTGCAAGAAGGACTCTACAGCGTCGGCGTACTTTGGGTCTCTGATTGAGCATGTAACCACTGGAGGCCCAAAGACCTCCTTTTCAAACTTGTCTTGGTTTTGTTGGATCCAATGATAGGCGCGAACGGAATCGGCAGAGAGTCGTCCAAGCTTGTTCTCTTGCTGTCCAGCCTGGGATTCCAAGTTTTGTAACTGACGTTCCGCCTGCTTGATCTGATCGGCTTTCACATTCAAGCTTTCGAAAAGTGGTCGTCGGTCGCTTTTAATCTGGGCCGCCTTTTCCTCAATTTCCCTGATTTCTCGTCGTTTTTCTCTCTGTTTCATGGATTAGCAGCAATAGTCAACATCATCCTGCAAAAACTTACTATTTGCTCGTTATACCACTCCACATCGAAGTCGTCTGGTTTCTCATTCAACTGACGCGTGAGCTTGTTTATCGTTTGCTGAATCTTAGTTGCTTCTTGCCTATAGCCTTGCCCGCCCTCTTTTTCGGCATTGATTTCATCGTCAAATCCCTTTATCTCCCGCTCATGTTGTTCAATTGTTCGGCCAGCGTCGGAAGCCGCACGCTCGGCTTCCTCTAGACGACGCGTTTTATACTTGATAACCTCGTCCGTTTCGAGACAGTACTGTTGCTTCGCATTGACGGATCTTAAGGCAGGCTCGAGATCCTCTTTGAGTCGCGCTAGTTCGCGTTCGATTCTTTTAACTTCCCTTCTCATATTATTATACCTCTCGTGTCCCTGTTTATACTGCAGAACAGGTCGGGCCATCTCCAACATCTCGATTTTTCTCTTAATCTGAGCCCTTTGGCGCATCCGCTCAACGTCGGCTCTTTGCATTTCTTGCCGATCCTCAAGGTTCGTTAAAGTGTCACGGTCGCCTTGGTTGTCCGCTTGCAGCTTCTTTTGCTCCGCTCTCAGACGCTTCAGGTTCTCATGCCATTCGATCATTTCCTCGCCAGCGGCGGCTCTTTGGGTCGAATTGAGCAACTCTATTGGTGTCAGAGCTGCGAATTCGGCGACTTTATCCTGGGGAAGGAATTGGCAGAGGTTATCAATCTGGATAGAGAATGATTGTGCTAGCTTCAGCACCTGGGAGCGGGAGGCCTGTTTTCCGTTGATCGTGAACGTGCTTTTATTGCCGTCACGCTTGATGGTTCTAGAAACGACAGGATTGTGACGAGAACCCGGCTTTCCAGCCAGCTCGATCTCAATCGTAGCTTCTCTACAGCCATGCTTCACAAACTCTCCCGTGTCTTTTGCACGTCCGAGATGCTAGATGAAAACCTGTTAGGAGAAGTGCCATACTGTATACGAAAGGTTACTGTACCTGTGGTCCCCATCCTAAACCAAGACATATCGCGCAAACAAGGGTACTCTTTCCGGTACCATTCGGACCGATAACCATGTTCAGCTTTGGACCAGGGAAGAATTCCGCAGACGTGTAGGTTACGAAGTCCGTCACTCTAATACGCACAATAGCACCTGGCTTATACGCTTCCTGCGGCCCTCCATTAAGCAGACCACTCTGCGATAAAGTCGATTCCGTCCCTGCAGTCTGAGTGCTGGGGTGCTTGCTAGACCCGGACCCTGCTGCATTTGACGCGGCGTACTCATCGGTGTCATGGTCAGCGCTCTCTGATTCTGCAGTATCGCTATCTTGATCATCGTCAGTACCCTCCCGAGCAATCCTCTTCTGGGCGGTTCCATTCTGCGAAGCATTCCGGCTTGTTGCTGATTTCGGCGTTGCGGCTTTAGCGCTGCTCTTCTTCGAAAGCTCAGAGGTCGACTTCGAAGGACGGTTCACTTCGGTGTTATCTTCGGCGTTTTCAGACTCTTCAGAAGCTTCATCGTTCCCTTCTTGTGGTACATCGCCCAGAGTTTCTACCTCCTCTGCAGCTCCCGCTTGGGCCTCGTTATCGTCCAGGGCGCCGTCCTTCGCGGACTCGTAGTTGCCATCGGCCGTCTCTTCGGATGCTTCCCTTTCCTCGTCCTGGCTGGTCGTAGAGCCCTCCTGATCGCTCAATTTCTCATCGCCCAACCCGTCCTCCACTTCCTCCTGTAGCTCCTCATCCTGGATGTCCTGGCCGTCATCCGAGCCCTCCCCCAGTTCCTCTGATGCCCGACCCCCAAAATCCTGTCCCTCCACCTCCTCTTCAACCTCTACCATTTCGTCTTCCTCATCAGGCTCCTCAGTACTCAATCGTAGCCGTTTACTATCGCCCGAGCGATGCGATGACGTGCGCGAACCCCTCATCGGCCCAGAGGAAGCTCTCTCACTAACACTACTCACATCGTCACCATCGTCGTCATCAGACCGGCGTCGTCGGCGAGGGATCGACCCCCGAGAAGACATGTTGAATAGATCGAGTCGCGCAACAACGCATACACTTTAGTTCACCAGCGCATCGACATTGGTGGTGGATGAGGATACTTCGGAAAGGATGAACGGGGCCTGGTAGAAGGCAATACAAGTGAGCGGGGTCCTGAATGAAACCCCAGTAATTGAATAGATAAAGAACAACCCGAAGCGTAGTATAAAGGATATCAAATCCAAAAAGTAAACGCGGCTCACGCGTGATTTGACGCGATGAGCGGGACAAAGGGAAAGACACTCAATCTAACCTCTTTTGGGCTAGGCGGGGATTGGTGGCAGTTTCAAGTGGTCCGCCGCGGAGCTTCGGAGTTGCTTGCAACTTTCTTTGTTGCTATTTCGATCTCCAGAAAGGCCAAGTCTTGGGCAGTTGTTCTTTTTGGTCTCCTTTTCTCTTTTTGACGTTACCATTCATGGCTTCGAATCAGAAGGTTCGCCGCATTGTCCTTACGGGCGCTGTCACGGTCATTACGATTGCTGGTTCGCTTTATGGCGCTGGCATTAAGACCGGGCAACAGGTTACTCAGGTACTATTATTCTCTAATCATTACATTCAGCGGCTATTGGCTATAATTCCTGGTCCGCATGGGGTATTACAAGCGCTAAAACGGTGATTATGGTATATAGCAAGCCCAAAAAACCCAAGAAGTTACCATTGACGACCGAATCGACGGCCTCCGAAGCATGCGACAGAATCTGGTATCGAAGAAGGAGCTCGTCGAGAAGCAGCTCCGCGACTTGGACGTGAAGATCGAGGAAAGGAAGCTGAAGAATATGGATGGGCCGAAGAGGGAGCCACCGAACTATAAGTAAAAAGGGGAATTCTTCGAGAAGTTCAGGAGTACAGCAAGCAGGTAGGTGGTTCATGAAGCCGGGCTGTCAGGATATCATTCTAGATGCTCATTGTGGTGTTGGTAGAGGACGCCAATCTACACAGCCTCTTTGTCAGAAAGCCGCTTTGAGCCTTTGATCCCTCTGCGCTACTTGGCTCTGCTATGTCGTGGCGGTAATGCAGCCTGCTAGCACTCCTTTGCCAAGGCACAGAGCCCGCTCTTCCAAGGCTGCATACTTGCGTCCGAAGGACCAATTAGTGTGGGATCTTCGCTTCCTCGTGTCCCGCTGCGCTTTGCGACGGTAGACGATGAGCTTCTAGCAGAGCTGTGCAGAAGCGGTTGGGAGGAGTGTTCATAATGCTCACAACCGTCGCCCATCTCCTACATGGCGCGAATAGTTTGTGGTATGTTTGGTCGCTTGCACACCAAATACTGGACGAACCTAAAGTGGCTCAATGGCCTCACGGTGGTTTTTTTCACGCCAAAACTTCTTTCTACCGTCTACGAAGTAACACACCCAGTACTATGAGTACTAAGCTTGGGTCATCAATGCCACCAACAGTACACCGGCACGACCGGTCAGGTGCAGGTGAATAGAGCCGAAAGAGATCTATGAATTTATATGATATCTCATCCCAAGTGCCAGTAAATCGCGCTATATTCCAATATATACACCAATAAAAAAACCGCTAATCCAGATGAGCAAATATTCAAGCGAAAGTATCAACTGTCCAAGATACCTCGCGCAAGAGCAGCGAGACTCGCTTCGTATCTCGCCGGATTATGGTCACTGAACATGCCCGAGCCGAACTTTAATTCTCCGAATAATGCTTCTGTATCCCGAATGAACTTCAGTTGCACTCTTGTTGCGGGCCGACCTAGCAATGGATAGCCATCCTTGTCCATATCGGCAGTAAAAGCATTCCGCTGGAGGACACGCATTGTCTCAACCACGAATACCTCTCCCGGCGGCATCAGCTTTGGAGCACGCATTTCGTCTCTGAGCATCTTCAAAGTATCCCAGGCCCAAGCATCTTCCCCAACGTCATTCCCGGCATGTGTAAGGATAGGCGGTTCGTTGACGTAGAATTTGTTGACTATACTCTGCCTCAGGCCCTCCCAGACCCGGAACCGTACGTGAGACTTAGCATTAGAGACATCGCTTTTGAATGCTAGGGACGCCGTATGCATATCATGCAAGATGCCTAGTGAGAGGCTAGGCACCACATCTTGGCCGTTGACAATCGTCGTTATCAGGCCGCGCGTCGCACGGCGCAAGAAGGGAGACATAGTCGAGGGAGGGCCGTACGCATAGACATGTATAGGCCTTCCAGGAGGAAGGGAAAGGGCAGCGCTGCAGTTACCCTCATTGTCTCCAGTCAGACGTAAATTTCCTTTGGCAGACTGGTAGGAAGTAGTAGTGAACGATGTTCCAGAACTGTCGTTATTCGGCTCTGAGATCATTGTTGCTAGGAGTGCAGCGACGCCCCCTCCCAGTGAGTGACCGCAGAACACCACACCATAATCCGGAAATTCCTCCAAAGCCGCCCGAATCGTCATCATAACTCGGCTGCTTCCACCCATCAATAGCCGCTTTGCAGAGGCATGCATGCCCTTGTGGACTTTCCAACTTCTACCTTGCCATTCGAGATCATCGTAATCACAGGTCATGTCTGTGAGGATGTCTTCAAAGCCCCATGTCCCTCTCAGAGTAAGAACTACCGCCTTAGACTCATGATCCACAAAAAGGTAATGGACTAGAGGAAAACCACTCTCTGTCTCTCCGGCAGCATTAGTCCCACCTGCAGGGTCCACATAGGATGATAACAAGATTGTAGAAGCTGGTAGGCCTGCATGGTCCGAGAACTCGCTATGCTCAGGACTGTATGATTCTTGGTAAGGAAGAACCTGCGTGGTCCGTGGGATACCCATAACTTTGAGTGCACTCGAACCATAAGAAGCTGAAGAGAAGCGACAGAAACGTCTGATGTTGTGCACAAAGTGCTTTTCCGGAAAGATGCCCGGGACGGTACCGTCCCGGTTGAGCGCACGGATAGTTTCTATGTCGTCGTATGCACTTTTTCGCGCACGGTGAGCCAATATCAGGGATGTTTCAGAGCCCGCGGTTGCTAAAGAATAGAGGCTCGGGGAGAATGAGCCCGACTGCCGGTAGAAGACAGGTGACCCCGGCCGAGAATCGTCGTTGAGGGATATTGCCACATCACTTTCTGACCTAGTCAAGGACATAGAGCTGCTGCTACGTACGTGAGCCCTCCTTGGAGTTGGCGTTCCCGGTCGTAGGTCCAAAGGTTGTCGAGTATAAGCATCCGTCTGTGCCATGAATGACTCGTTATTCTTCTCATATATCGTGTAGTTGTCTGTTCTGGAACTTCTTCCGTGCTTAGTATCGTGGGATGGGCATGACGTGGGAGTCGGGGCGGATTTCACTCGGTGTCCTTGCAATGGTATCCTCGGTAAGCCTCTATTTGCCACGGATGCTGAAGACCCGCGGTTGTGTGGTACCGGCGAGTTGTCGAGCTTCTTCGTGGGATTGGATTGTTTTGAGATTTTTCCGCGCTGAGGTAGGTTCTCTGACGAAGAAGGCGTCTTTGACTTTTCGACAACCAATCCGGCGAACTTACCAGTATCTTTCTTGCTCGATGGTATAGGCTTCGTCTTCGGCGTGAGCTTCGACAGTGAGGCTTTCTCATGAGAGTCTCTAGACGGTTTATTTGCTTGCTTCTTCGGGGAGATGAGTTGCGGTTTCCTTACACCGGGCTCAACACCCACGTGTCTGTCTGCGCAAAGCATGCCATGCAATGAGTTGTCGGCATTCAACATCTCATCCCCGGTGTTCCCTAGTATTTGACGCTCGCTTAAGTCCTCCACATCATTGTCAACACGATTCACTGCGGAGTCAGACCTGGAAGGTCGCACATCGGAGCTTCGGGTACTATTGAAAGCTGTGCGAAATACCACAGTATGTTTAGGAACCTGTGACCCGTTTGTGTGCCTGTGATCAAGCTCATCACCGAAGGTCTCCTTGACAATTGTTGTGCCTGGTGGTGGGGAAATTTCTGCAGTGGCGTCATCGTAGACTTCCACTGTAATCGTACGTGCCGTGACCAGGTCCGTCCTGATAGACGCACGGCAACCCTGGGGCAGTTGCTTCATAATGTATAAGCGGATGTCTTCGTCTGACACTTGATGTTGATCTCCCGGGGGAAGCGAGAGGTACGGGACTTCGTCGGGATCGATTGTACTTGCAGGTCTCCGTACAGCATCGAAAACCTCTTCATCATTTCCAGGCGATATGAATGACGAGCGATTCATATTATCGTGTGGCTGATCATAAGAAATAGTCGCCATTTCTAGTTGGTGTGAACCGACAACATCTGCCCTCAGCCCATTATCCAATATAACAACATCCCAGACTGTTTCCTCCCCATTGTTTGCGCGGAGGTGTCGTTGCGTGTTTGTCCTTCCCCAGCGTTGCAAGAGTGCAAACCCAACACAGCCAACAAGGAGATCGCCCACACCAATCTTGTCGGCACCAAGGTCGGTATGCGGACTCCTAAATTCCCTCCTAATGAGGGTAATGATGGCAGCAATCGCCCTGGACGACTCCGTAGAGCCAAGGATAGCGTCGAGGGTAGACAAAAGAGATTGAGACATGTTGGCAGCAGAAGAGAGTGTGGTAGAGGAAAGATGGAATGAAGCAGCTGCAAAGAATGACGCAGACGTGACTGTCTTGTGCAAAGTGGCCAACTAAGTCCTCGGTTAGCCTTCAGAAGATGCAGGATTAGAATTCGGACGAACACTCACGCTTCGTTCTAGTAGCGACTCTGCTTCTGCCTTGCCATGCTCTCCGCTGGTCCTGATGGCGACATCACGTCCAGCTCGAGTCAGTATGCCTTCGATCATAGCTCTACTGAGTTCAAGCCCCGTTAACGTTGTCGCTTTCGCACTATCAAGTGCTAGACCTCCGACAAACGTTCCCAGGCGAAGAGAGAGCGAAGTTGACTGCGTCATGAACGACACCATGGACGCCAGGGGACGAGGAAGGAGAGGTAAGCCCGAAGTGGCAGGAACATGAGCGGCGCCATTGTCACGGAGGACTTCTAGTTGCGTTTGTTCTTCGACATCCTGCTTCTTCGCCCTCCCGAAACCAAAAATTCTAGACATCTCGGGGCCTCAAGTATTGGTTGAGACTGTCTTGGTTTCCATTAGGCGGATGTTGTGCAGCCATGAGGCACTGGTCTCAAGTCGGAGACATGAACAGAGGTGCAGATACAGATTCGAAGAATATTGGCCGATAAGAGATGCCTGGCCAGATCAGCGGTTGAACGTAGCAGTCGAAGACTGGTTCCTGCAGTGGTTGACCGGCAGACAGAACTGTAGATCAGTAGCCGGTGGCGACGAATAAGCAACCACTCATTAGGGGCTGCGGTTGAGAACCGGCATGTGATTTTGCGGGATCGCCCCAACAAAACTTGGGTCGTCGGCTTCATCTTCGGGCAGAACCCACCCCTACGCGACTAACTCATGACGGACACTGGTAGTGTTCCTTCCCCCTCTGTGGGGAGAACGCGACGCGAAATCAGTTATCGCGAAGCAAGTATACAAGTAGTATCAAGATTTGGTGCTACCCCACAGGCTCCAGTTTTCCCCTCATTCCTTCCCCAAACTCCGTCATCTGATCTTTCCCTTAATTGGGCATCTTCACGTTGCCGGCCAATAATATGTTACATGTCACAACATTGCCTTCCCATCTCCAGGGTACACAACCTTCCTGATCTTGTCGCGGGTGCACTCGGCCACGGTACATATCCCTGACAGACTCATGGTCTGCCAGAGATCCGCCAGAAGCCCCTTCATCACGGCTTCGGCCCCGTTCTTTCCATCGATTGCCAACCCATAGATCACCGGCCTGCCAACCAAGACAGCATCCGCTCCCAGACAAAGCGCTTTGATGATATCTGCTCCAGTGCGAACCCCTGAATCAAAAAGAATAGTCATCTTGCCACCAACAGCATCAACTATCTCGGGAAGAACTTCCAGTGAGCCGATCGCACCATCAACCTGTCGACCTGTATACATGTAATTAGAAAGAATCTTCGCTGGAGAGCGACTGTCACATACCTCCATGATTTGAAACAACGATACCGTCACATCCCGCCTCAAGGGCAAGCTTCGCATCATCCACATGCTGAATGCCCTTGAGTACAATTGGACCATCCCAATTCTTTCGCAAGAATGCAATTTGCTCCCACGCATGCGGCTGACCATAGAATACTTGGGAAATCCATGACTTGGATGCCCCCACAATGTCCTCTTCCACTGTCGAACCGGACTCTTTCTCAAATTTCGAGCGGAACACGGGATCCGTGAAACCAAGTGTGTTGCCGACGCCCCGTATGAACGGAACGTAGGCATTGTCCAGGTCCGCTGGTCGCCAAGCGAGCGACCAAGTGTCTAGCGTAACTACCAGGACGGAGAACCCATTGTCTTTGGCGCGTTTCAGCAATGATAGCGTAATATCATCGTCTCGCGGCCAGTAGAGTTGGAACCATCTTTTACCGTCTCCGTTTGCCTGCCCGACCTCTTCAATCGAGCTGCTACTTGCGGTGCTGAGGATATACGGGATCCCGACATTCCCGCAAGCTTCTGCAAGGCCAGACTCCTTATCATCATGGAAAATAGACTGGACGCCGACCGGCGCCATAAGAAGAGGAGTTGGATATTGCTGGCCAAAAAGGTTTACCGCAAGGTTCTGATCATTCATCTACGCGGACACAACCATTGGTCAGCGCTGGGACTTGGAGGAACCGACTGAACTCTACTAACCGGCTTCAGCATCCTCGGGATTCTTTTCATATCGTCAAACGTTATGCGCGTCAGTCTCCCGAAATCTACGTAGCAATATCAACACGGGATCGAATCAACTTACAGCTTCCATTGTCGAAAAGCCAGCCGATTGCTATCCATTGTAGCCTTCTCCCCAGCACCGCCAGCCACATAATTGAAGCTACGCTCGCCTAGGGCCTTCTTTGCCTGTTCTTCAAGTAAGCGAGGGTCGGTGGTGACATTGGGCAAGACGCCCGTCAATGCTCCTCTGCCATAGATCTCTGTCTGATAGTCGCCGTAGTTTTCCGACATATTGCGCGTAAAAGTAGATGATATTTCTTTCCAAATCCGAAATTGATTACTGGGATAAACAGATGCTGACAGCAGAAGGAGCCCCCTCACGGATAGCGTTGTACCTCATGCAGCCGGCACGTGAACCAGCCATGCCTCGGGATCCTGATCATTACCCAATACGGTGTGTTGCTGACGTCATGTCTACCGGTACCTAGATGCAAAGTACCTAGTAGTTTACTATAAATTGACCATGAGGAAAGTTGTCTTTGCTATATCTACCGCTAACCCTCACATAGAACAATACACAGCCACACACGCTGCCACATGTAGACACAAGGCATCAATTCCACGTCGAAGAAATGTTGTAAATGTCAGCTCTGACATCCTCTGTACTTCCACCAGTAGACGCCAGACGGGCGTGAACCGCATCACTGCTAGGGAAGATCTGAGCAGTCAGGGTTGTCTCGCCCTGACCGCCAAACACTTCGACGCTGGACCTATCGACGAAGATACTCAAGTTCACTACACCAGTACTATCCGGCGTCAGAGGTCCATGATAGACGCTGGCGAAGGTCTTATCGAATGACACGTCTCCGGAGTGTGTACGGTCAAGGAAGATTTGCTGCTTGGCGAAGTCATAGCCAACGAGGGTCTGCTCGGTGAAGTTGGCGGATGCTCGGAGGGCAACTGCAAATGTTGAGGCCTTCGACTTAGCAGAGAAGCTCAAGTCCACTTTGAATGTCTCTCCGGTCGTGGTTGTGTTGGTGGAGCCTTCAGAGAAAGACTTGAAGGTGCGTGAATAATTCGGGCGCTTGTTTGAGATGGAAGACCACGCTTCCTGGGGTTGCTGGACTAGGGTTGCTTTGCTGCCAATGGTCTTTAGGGCCATGTGGCGGGGAATGGCCATGGCGCTGCGCCAGGGGTAGGTGGGAATGTTTGCGCCATACTGCCAGTTGTTCATCCAGCCGATATGGACGTGGTCGTTGAGCGAGAGGCCGTTGTAACCAGCTGCTGCATAGAAGTCCGGACCCCAGTCCATCCAGTTTGCGGTGGAGTTTCCTGGGTATACCGTGTCGGCGTCAGGCGTGAATGTGGTTCCGTCGAATTCTCCCACGAAGTACTGGGTTCCGGAGCCGACAGTGCCTGGGGGACCACCAGGGTTCAGTCCGCTTGTGATGACCCATTTTGTGGAATTTCCGCCGTCAAGGGGGAGCTTGACAAGTCCGGGACACTCCCACACTCCGCCTTGCGCGTTGTAAGGACCGAACTCGCTCACTAGCTTCCAGTCTTTGAGGTTGTCGGAAGTGTAGATCGCGAGTTTGTGCAGCTCGGCTATACTTGTGATGACCACCCATTTCCGGGACTCGTCGTGCCAGAACACAAAGGGGTCCCGGAAGTTCTGGTATTCAGCTTCATAAGGGCTGGGAGGGTTGAGGATAACTGGATTGGCGGCATCGTATGTCGTCCATGTTAGACCATCGTCAAGACTGTAGGCGATGGACTGTGATTGCTGGTCTTCTTGGACGGTTTGGCCACTCGGCAATGTTTGCGCAACGGGGTACTAGGATGCTACTGTTAGTGATATGCACTAGGAGATTGTTCGGGAAATGGGGTAGGTACATAGGAAGTATACATGGCGACTAGGGGTGTCTTGCCGTCCTTCCCAAAGCCACTCGTGTTGTTGACATCGGCAACAGCACTTCCGCTGAAGTACATCTCGGTGACGTTGCTGCCAAATCCTCGGGCGAGAAGTGCAACGGGCTGCTCCTCCCAGTGGGTGAGATCCTCACTGATAGCATGCCCCCATGATATGTTTCCCCACTCGATGCCACCAGGGTTGTACTGGAAGAACAGATGGTAGGTTCCATTGTGGTATAAGAGCCCGTTGGGGTCATTCATCCAGTTCTTCTGGGGTGAGAAATGGTATTGACCACGATAAGGCTGGTCATAGTTGAAGGCATGTGTAATGCCCAACAACATACAGACACTTAGGGCCTTCGACAGAGGAGCCATTGCTAACAAACTCTTTGAGAAAACCGCGCTGTGACTGAGGATTGTCTCTGGAATTTCAGGCATAGAATGACCGGGTTTATATGTGCGCCAGTGGACTCCGAGTCTGTCGTTGAATGGAGTGGGGTCCTGCAATAATGTGCCCAGATATACAAACCTTCTACTACATCCTGACGCCGAACTGAGTTTTAATGCCTCATCCTCTTCGTATCTGACCTATATCCTTTGTAAACCCACGCTGACTTCCTCCTTTTTTACTTCGCTTTGGATTTAATCTCCCTTTTTGTCCACATATATGCTGTCTCAGTGAGTCGGCTGTACTTGCGTGATCGGCATCTGTTGTATTCCACAAATCCGGGGTGTGTCATTCAGGGATGTATGCATTTCCCCGCGTGGGGTGTTGTTGACATTGTACCACGGGCCACACTCGGGATTGAGCGGATGCCTGCTCCTTGACCGAGAATATCGGCCCACCGGTCTACACATCCTCGGTGAAATTTCAACCTTTGCTCGGTGAAATTGACTAGATACTGCGGAGTATGGCATCGGTATACCCCTGGTGCCCACTTTACAATCCCTTCAATTGGCCCCGGACTGCGGGGCTTTGCCGAGTGCGGAGAAACATCGGGGACAGCGTTGGTCAGGACCAAACGGAGTCGACAGAGTAAGCCGGTGTAGGTGTTGCGAAACCGAGAACTTTCGAGCGAAGACCCTTGCATGAAGAAGTTGCTGTTCGTGTTCGTATAGGCGGTCGTAAGAGGGGTCTCATGGCGGGGCTGGAGTCCTAGACTACTGTGGATGGAGATGAAAGCACTCCCCCATGAGTCTCATCAGCAAATAAGTAGATGGTTGAGCATGAACTTTGAAACTAACCTGCAGAGATGCACTTTAGTCGGCCATAATAGGTTTCTGATATCCTCTTCGCATGGAGATAGATAAAGAGTCTTCTGTTTATTTCGTGTGTTATATCACAACTAGTCCGTATAGACAAACCTCTTCGAACGAGAGAAGGAGTGATTGCGCTTGACCAATTCTTACCCCACTCTCCATAGTTACCGGCACTAAGCCTGCAAAAAGATGGCTGGGTCAGGAAAGAGGCCGAATATTCGCGCACAGTGTTGGCACCTAGACACTAGGGATTTAGTTGGTCAATAGGCCCAAAGTATGTCATGGCTCCACTGATGGAATATCGAGGGCTTGCAATGGGATGATTGCTTTTCCATAATACCTAAAGCATTTATCCCTGTTCATACGTGGTTGGGGGGTTTGGACGAAGTCGAGATGTTTGTGACGTCGCACACGTTGAACAGACAATATGTGGGTGCCTGGGGCACAAATGACCAGGGTGTTTCTGGTGGGAGACGGGGAAAGGGGCATTCTCGGTGTCGGGAGGGCGTCAGCATACCACCTCGACAACTGGATGATGGTGCTCCCAAGAATCAGTGACCATTGTCCCTTTTAATCACCATGCATAGAGTACGGTCAAGGTCCCTGAATATTACCTTCCTTGCTTCAAAATCTGCATGTAGAAGCCTCTCGTTGACGTGTCGCGGTATGCTCCACATAGATCTCCTCTAGCAGTCCGGTCTGATGGCCATCGCTACATTTAGGAAAGTCAATTTCAACACGAGCAGCTGTTTGAATATACAAATGGCCTGTTTCTAGTCAATGAGAAGCATGAGATGTCAAAAAGATATGCCAAATTTGATCTGGATGCTCTTTGCGCCCTTGTTTCGGCGCTGCCCCATGTTTCTTCACCCATCTCTAGGATCGACAAGATGGAGGGAGGATTCAACAAGGTCTTGTTAATGACTGCAGAGAATGGAAAGGAGGTTATCGCGAAACTTCCATGCCCTAGGGTTGTTCCACCGCAACATAGCACTGCATCCGAAGCAGCCGTCATGGAATATGGTATTGTCGACTTCGTTCATCTTGAAGACTGCGTAAGCTAACCTACTTCTATCAGTGAGGTCTCATACCTCTGTCCCGGTGTGTAGGGTACTGGGCTGGAGCTCTGAAGCCTCGAATCCTGTTGGGTCCGAGTATATCCTGATGGAAAGGGCTTGCGGAAGACAGTTAGTCGATGTATGGGGCGAAATGAATCAGCTGCAACAATTCAGGCTTGTTCAATGTCTGGTCCAGCTTCAAAGTCAGCTGGCAGCTTTGAAGTTTCCGGCCTATGGAAATATGTACTTTCTTTCTTCAGACGCTCAGCACTCGGACCCAATTGTCCCAATGAACGACGACTATTGTGTCGGCCCAGCATATAATGCTTCGTGCTCTCCACAGCTGAGTGAAAGAGCTCACGCAGGTCCATATATGTTATCGGTCTGCCATCAGAGAATCATGCTAAATATACAATTTCTTAGGGCAGGGACTCACAGATCTTGGCATTGGATTGGTCGAACGGGGTCTTGCGCACTTAGAACATTCGTCGCTCGACCCTCGTACACCCCATTTCGGCACCAAATCGGAACACTTCGATATACTCACGATGGCCAAGGATATAATACCACACCTGGGCGGATTTACACCTCTACAACAGTTTGCTAAACCTACATTGTGGCATAGTGATCTTCACATGGGTAACATATACGTCTCTGAACAAGACCCGACAGCTATAGTCAATGTCATTGATTGGCAGTTCACATCTATTATGCCTGCTTTCATGCAAGTTCAGTGGCCCTCTTTTCTTGCGCCACCTGATGGCTACGAAATCGGCGCGGTCAAGCCGGAATTACCTCCAAATTTCGAAGACATGGATGCAGACGCAAAGGCCTTTGCTATCAGCGAGAGAGAACAAGCTCTGCTTTCGAAGTGCTACGAAGCATCTCTGGTCAAAAACCACATGGAATCGTACTTGGCTATGACTCAAGTTGACTCTGCTATCAGGTATCTATTCATGTTCGCAGAAAACACGACCAAGGATGGGATAATTCCCCTCCGTAATTGCCTCACTCAGCTTGCTGCGAACTGGAACGAGATGGGCATTGCTGAGCAATGTCCTTTTAATATCACAAGTGAGGCTTTATCGAAACATCAGATGGAGCTTTCCCGGTACAAGGACTGGCAGAAACTCAAAGGTTACACACAGGAACTGCTGCAGACAGATGATGAAGGTTGGATTTCCGCTCAGCTTGACTTCGAGAAGGTCCAGGCAAGACATGCCGAGCTCTTCCAGCTATACATCGAGAAAGAAACCGAAGAAATATCTGAGGAAGAGGCAAGAAGGCTTTGGTTCTACTTAGAGAACACCTAGAAAAACTCAACTCGCTTTTTCCTCTCTCTTGATTGTCAAGAGAGATGGATGTAAGCTTGAGACTGCATGCCAGCTTCGCATAGTCGCGGAAAGATCGCGATCAATCAATGTAATGCACTGCTATCTGTGTTTCGTTCGCTATACTTATAGCGGCTCTATTGACCCGAATTCGCGCTACATTGTTATGTCAGCTAAGCTATGGGTTATTCGTGGAAGTTATGACCTGCTTAGCATCATTCACAACACTTTTTACATGCAGATTCCTCTTCGGGAGGCCCGTGTCGCTCCATTGAGCAGCCACTTTATTTCCTTTTCACCGTTCATTTCTGTTCGCGTAGCAAACAGGCACTATCATGGGATCAACGAACCTGGGGGCAGTCATCATTGTGAAGTCAGCCATTGCTCTTCTGACCCACAACCTGATGGGCTAGTTTCGTGGTTGACTGTTTGCATTAAACCATATCCCAGATTTCTTCTTCATGTTTGGCTATGAGTAGATCCGCTCTGTTGGTGTGTTGTGTTTGCACATGATAGAGTTTCTCGTCATCTCCGCGCCTTGTTTTCAACATGATCTGCATCCGGATGAGTGCAACGGCGGAGCTATATCCGCACAGTCTCGGTAGCTGGCAACGACGGATTCCCCGAATGGGTATTTTGTGGCGAACTAAATCCTATTATACTCCTAGTATTGTATCTCGAGCCACTGATTTTGAGCGTATCTCAAGTAAGGTTGTGGGTTTGCAGGTGGAAAGGCCCGCGAAGACTAAAGTCAAAACCCAGCCGGGCTGGAACCTTGGCGAATCTTGGCCACCCACCAGATCGCCACCATTTTCTGCTTCAATAATCCCCCACCTCACTTCCATCGTGATCAGTATTTTTGGGATTGTACAGTTTGTGTCTCTTGAATATCATGCGTATCATGGATCTAGTCAGATCTTGAAACTCGAACTACTACTTTGTCCACGGGAAGTTGGGACCAAATCTCGGCCCGTGTGCAGTTCCTTTACAAGGTTAGATGACGAAATAGACTCCAACAGCAAAGATGGAATACCAAGAAGAACAGAAGCCTGATCCTAGATCTCCAACTCAGTTTGGAGGCTCGATGGATGGCGGTGATAGCAATGACTCGGCTCTCTCATTACTGGATGAGAAACGCGAGAAGCATTTGATTCGCAAGATTGACCTACATATCATACCTTTTGTCGTTCTTTTATATCTGTTTAGCTTTCTTGATAGAGGTATGTCTTCCTGTACATGTTACTTCGCAAGTCTACTTCCAGTTTGACTACTCGAATGATTGGCACGCTTGCTAACAAGCCCTAGTCAACATTGGCAATGCCCGTCTATATGGGATGGAAGAAGATCTGGGCCTGGTCGGAGATCAATACCAGATTGCAGTATCTATTCTGTTTGTAACTTACTGTGTATGTCTGGATTCGCACATATGTGTGGCTCTGACGCAACGTCTGATACTGTATAGCTCTTCGAAGTGCCGTCAAACTTGGTTATCAAGAAGCTCAGGCCATCACGCTACATTGCGTCGATATCGGTTATGTGGGGCATCATAGCGACTCTCACTGGAATAACCCAGAATTATGGAGGCCTCATCGCTTGTCGTATCCTTCTAGGTTAGTCACAGACCATGAGTTGGTGATGTGAGCCCAAGCTAACAGCTATAGGCGTCGTGGAAGCCGGACTGTTTCCTGGAATGGTTACCTATCTCACTATTTTCTATAGCAAGCGTGAAATAGCACTGCGCACGGGCTACCTATTCAGCAGTGCAGCCGCTGCCGGCGCGTTTGGCGGACTTCTAGCTTACGGCATCGGCTTCATGGACGGCGTCGCCGGTTTACGAGGTTGGAGATGGATCATGATCATAGAAGGCATTCCAACCGTCATACTAGGGGGCCTATCCTGGTTCTTTCTTGCGGATGACCTCGATACAGCCTATTACCTGGATGATGAGGAGAAGGCCCTAGTAGTTCGGCTTCGTCGTCGCGACGTGGGCCAAACATCGTCCGCCCAAAAATTTCACTGGGGAGACGTCAAAGAAGGTGCGCTGGACTGGAGAATCTACGCCTTCTGCATTGCTCAATTTGGTGTCGATACTATGCTATACGGGTACAGCACCTTCCTCCCCACCATTATCCAGGGCATGGGGTCGTGGACAACGCCCGAAGTGCAAGCTCTTACGATTCCTTGTTATGCTGTGGGCGCAATAAGTTATCTGATAATTGCGTGGGCGAGCGATAGAACTCAGCGTCGCGGAGTATTTACTTGCATCTTTGCCGCCATATCAGTGGTGGGCTACGGAATCCTGATATCGGATTCTTCGTCAGGAGTACACTACTTCGGCGCCTTGCTTATTGCCTTAGGATTATATGTGGCTGTCGGATTACCTCTCGCATGGCTCCCGACCACTCTTCCTCGTTATGGAAAGCGTACATTCGCCACGGGGCTGCAACTGACTTTCGGCAACGTCAGCGGCGTCATGTCTCCTTTCCTATACAAAACGAATGAAGCGCCACGTTATGTTCGGGGCAATGCAGTGACTCTGTCGCTGGTTGGATTTGCAGGTGTTGTGTATGGTCTTATGTGGTGGTACTATCATGGCAAGAATAAGCGCAGAGAACAGGGAGTGGAAGATGAGAAGATTGCAGGGATGTCAGAAGAGGAAATTGAGGAAATGGGAGACAGAAATCCTCGGTTTAGATATAGTACCTGATATGTTGCGCAAATCCGCAAAATGCGAGCAAATCTTGGTGTTGCCATGGCTGTGGGACATAAGACAAACATTGTTTGTTTCTTGGCATGGATAAGCCGTCTGTCGATCATCTCGATTAGCCTGTAATCCATCTCTTTTCAGATAATGTCATCTAAATGCATCTGCCCATGACGTCGGGAGGTCCATGTTCACCATGGTTCACGTGCTCTCGCTTAGCTCTTTGATATTATCTTTCTTCACTGCAGTGGCAGGAATCCTTTATTATAATTATAGTCTGTCGCGCAGTACAAATTGTCGTGACTCTGTCTTCTCATCAGCTTTTGGCGCAAGCTGGAGGGCCTGGATTCAAAGCCCATGTATAGAGCAACATGATGACTGGAATCTTCACCAACATCTTGGTGGATATGGGCCCTGGGTCGAGAAATCCGCCGGAGACGATGACGATGAATTACAGGGTGTTGATGTACCAGAAAGTTGCACAGTTGACCAGATACACATGGTACTTGATCTCCCTGTTCATCCAAGATGCCATTTCACTGATCGACGATTAGATGTCGCGCCATGCGGCGAGGTATCCAACCAGGTCTGCAGGAAACCGTAGGTGATCTGCCATCCGGAGAGTCTCTGAATATTACTAACGAGACATTTCACCATGACTACAGGTCATCTTGCCCTTTTGGATAGAATCCATAAAGCAGGAATTCCGCTGAACGGCTCATTGTCATTCCTGAACAACTGGACCTACATCACTACCAATCCAGAACGAGACTTCGAGCAATTGACCACAACCGGTCCATACGCTGGCACTCATCAAGCCTTCGAAACTGGAGTCCGATTCGCAGCCCGTTACGGACACCTTATTCCGTCCGATGCGAAGACAAAGTTCTGGGCAAGTGATTCCGAGCGCGTCATTGAAACAGCCCAACACTTTGCCTCGGGGTTATTTGGGCCTGACTGGGAAAAGATCGGAAAGGCCGCTCTAGAGATCATCCCGGAGACATTTGATCGCCGCGCTGATACACTCACACCGGGAGATACTTGTTTAAAATACCTAGAAGACGAAGATCGTGGCCATGACAACGGCATCAAGATGCTCACTTTGTTTCAGCAAGCGTATATCCCGGCTATTGCTGAGCGACTGCTCGTTGAGGAGGGCAACCGTGGACTTGAGGGGTTCGCCAATTGGGAGGTCTTTAGCATGCAGGAAATGTGTGGTTTTGAAACGACTGTACGGGGCTCGAGTCCCTGGTGCGATGTCTTCACGCGCGAAGATTGGAGGAATTTTGAATACGGACGTGATTTGGTCCATTACTATCGTGGAGGCCCGGGAAATTCTTACGCGGGCGCAATGGGCTGGCTTTGGCTGAATGCTACAGCGAATCTTCTGCGAGAGGGGCCCAAGGCAGGTTCAATGTTCTTCAGTTTGTGAGTGACTCGAATTTGAACCAAGGGAGCTGAGACCCAAGAGTCTAACGTGTGTTCCAGTGTCCACGACGGGGATATAGCGCCTTTCTTGACTGCGCTGGACATAATGAAAGATGAAAAGTACGACCCATTTCTTCCCGTCACACATCGGGCTGAAGACCGCATTTGGTATACCTCAACTGTGATGCCAATGGGCGGTCGGGTCACGCTTGAACGGATGGCCTGTTCGCCAACAGATCCTGCCCACAACATGAACGAGACATTTCTCCGGATAAATATCAATGACAAGATTGTGCCGCTGCCATACTGTAAGTCTGGACCTGGCTTGTCTTGTCCGTTGACGGAGTTCGTCGGTCATGTGGATAGAAGAAGGGTTGAAGTAGGAGAGTTTGGGTATGTATGTGGTTTGGAAGGTGATGTTGGAAGGATTACATTTATTCGACAATAGCAAGCAGAATAGGGATTTGAGGTATGTCATCTAAGAGTTATAGGAGGCATCTTTGACATAGTTGCTGGTAGTCTGTGGAACATGCTTTGTTCAGGAATGCTGGCCTACGCAGATTTGCCGCATGAGCTGAGGTTACTTAACATTTCTTTGATAGGAAGGACTGTTTCATCAGGCGCTATCTCCTAGGATTATCACCTGGGTGATTATGAGACGAGATGCGCTCAGGACAGTCGTAGATCATGATGGACTATCGTTAAACTGAAATCAGTAGGGTTTAACACAATTGGCTACTAGTAGTAATAGTATCTACTGGTATATATTGTACGGGGGCGGATGGGTGAAAAATCAGGATTGACAACAACTTCGTTGGATGATGGGTACCGTTCAGGCCGAATTAGTGCTAGGAACATATAAACTAGCTAATGAAGGACCTTTCAATACATCTATTGAGGCCCAGACTATATATTAGATATTAATGATAATGGTTAATTGGGGTAAAGCGACTTGAAGCGGTCAAGATCCGCCGTCCATACCGCAGCAACTCACGTGACGGTATCCGGGCTAACACTCACTGTTTGTTGCGCCCAAAACTTTTGGACGGAAATCAGCTTCCATCCAACGGATCCTTTCATAAGGCCGCTTTTTTTCATCCAAACGTCACCTAATATCCTCCTTTTTTTACGAGATAATTTCAGTCCCGGAATTCTGCTTTTTTGCTTTCATCTACTATATCAGCAACAATCCACATTATCTTCTAAAATGGAGTACCACTTCGTTCCTCCGGAGGAGCGCGCCAGAGACGAGAAGGGTAACCTCCTACCCTGGGGCTACGTTTACAAAGAGTAAGTCTTACACCATTGCGTCCTTTCCCCAAACAACTTCAACTCAATCTCACCCATTATCTTTCCAGTGAATCTCGCAACCCTCGTCGACCCCCCGAAGAATCCGGCCCATTTGGCAAGCGCAGAAACGCCCGCTATGAACACACCCGATCTCGCACACGCACCGGCACACCAGCAGCAAAGCGCGAAAACCCCAATGTAGCAGAATTTGGGCGTCTATTCGCCCAACAACAAGAAGAGGAGAAAGCGCGCAGCAACACCCTGCCCAAGTCATCCTCCGCTTCCAACCTCGACAACGCCCGGAAGCAGCAGACAGAGAAGGTCGCAACCGAGTGCATACTATACGGATACAAGAGCAAGGATTTCGAATGGAAAGTGATAGACAAGTACGAGCGGATCTCTCGCGGGTTCATCTGTGAGGACTATCCGCGGACCGACCCGAATGCTTTGAACGGGTATTCGCAGCTCCTGAGCGGCGGTGATGTGGTCATCCGGGCGAACTTATCAGCAGACGCAAATCGCAAATCGAAGCGCTATGCGGGCGGATTTCACTGGATTAAAGTCACGTTTGATTCGACGACAGCGGCCGATCGCGCGTGCTTCTACTCTCCGCAGGAAATCGATGGCCATTTGGTCTTTTGTGAGCTGTATCATGGCCAGGGACCTGCGGAGGATGCTCCTATCGTACAAGGATCCACGGAGGCGACTCGTCTCCAGTCGAAGGCGGCGCCTCGCACTTTGACTTCGTCGCATTCGACGAGTTTCCTCCAACCGAAGGACACAGCCACCAAGGAACGCCATACACTGCCGAGATCTTTCGCCTCGAATAACCTGTCCAGTATCCTCGACGCCCATGAAGAGGAGTCCCAGGAATCATCATCGACCCCCACCGCTAGCTCCGCAACAGCCACCGCCATCGAGCAACCAGCACCCCTGCAACAGCGCACAGTCGTCAAGGAGCCCAAGCCCGAATCAGACTTCATGACGCATATCCCGACGGTCCGTCGGACGAAGCTCCGTCCCATTACAGAAGCCCTTCCACCTCAGCCTACGGTCACAGAACGAGTGCTGCGCTCCATCCCTATTCTCAGCTGGTTCACGGGTGATATCGTAGGCGATGGACCTCAACTTCGCGAAGACGGGGCATTCGATTTCGACAAGTCGAACACCTACTGGAAATTCTGGTACATGGTCGATAGAGTCCTGGGGACAGATATCTGCGGACTGAAGGAGGAGTCATGACATCTCATATCTATCCATTTCACTCCTATTTACTATATATCAATGGAACAAAGACTCCTTGAGAAAAGCAGGGAAAAAAGAAAACGAGGACAAGAGAAAAATCGACCACACGCGCCGATTGAACCCCAAGTCCAGTCCTGTGGAAATCAAATGGTGCCCTCGTTTTCTCCTAGCAGATACCCTGATGCATGTACGATAGTGCTTTGCTTCTTTTCCGTGTTTGTCAACGATGATGTTTGATTGTTGACAGATTCATTTTACGAGGGGGGTGTGGTTTGTGGCGCTGCATTGTCAGCTTGTGTCTTTTTATTCTTTCGAACTTTTATCTTGCATATTAAGTGTCTGGCGCTGGGTATACGGTCATTCATTTCATTGTTGGGCTGCATAGAGATGCGATGGAGAAAATAATCATAGCATGTTTAGTGTGGGGTTGTTATGTTTTCCTTGTAATTCACACATTCATATATGTGTGTAGTAGTAGTGTAGTGTAGTGTCATTGGAGTAGACGTGCGCATCGTATCATCGTCATTTATACATCATGAGCCGTCATCATCATCAGAACCGAACATGGTAAACACAGTAAGAGAACAAGCACCCCCACCCCTACCATAAATAAGATATGTCGTATACCCTCACCTCCCCCCTCAAAGGATACCCTCAATGCATCACAACAGCCACATGATCATTCATATACTTCTTAATATTCCCCAAGAAACAAGCGGCGATAATAGACACGCCCCCGAACCCAATACTAGCATAATACACCCACTTATAGCTCTCAGCGTAGGCGAGCTGACCCGCCGCCACGACGGCATTGTACGCAGTCTCGTTACCCGCGATTCCGGGAATGAGCTTTAATTCGTCGAGCAGAGACGCACCGGTCATTTCGATCGCTTCGGCGATGTACGTGGTGTTGGTTATATTGAGCTCGGTGAGCATGACGCCGCCGATGTAGTGTTGTGCGTTGGGGACGAATTTGGAGATGAAGATGTTGTAGTAAATTGTGTAGCCGATGCCGCCGCCGGCGACGCGGATCGAGAGGGTGAGGGCTGAGATGGTGGCGATTAGGTCCTGGAGATGGGATGGTTAGTCTATGAGATGTGTGGAGGGTTGGTGTTGTTTATAAGCGGGTGGGCTTACGTCTGGGCATATAATTGTTGTGATGATTGAGGCTGGGACGATTATGCCCCCGATTCCTAGGCCTGCGATGATTAGGATGCCCCAGAGTTGGTATAGGTTGTCTGGTCGGCCTATTGACATGGCACCGCAGCCTGAGAAGATGTTAGCGTTCTGTTCGTGTTCAAGGTTGAAGGTTTATACAGACCTGCTGTCATGAGGACGCTGCTGATGATGAGAAGTTCCTTGTTGTGGCCATGCAAGACACTGAGGAGCCATAGGATGATACAAGCACCTGCCATGATGCCGAACCCGATGGGGAGACTCCGAACACCAACGTCGACGGGATCGTGACCATACACGTTGAATGACTGTGTGGGCCAGAACATGAGAACAGAGAAGAAGTTTGCTCCTGAGATGAACGTGATGACTAGGGTCAAGCCCAAAATGCGTGGCTCTTGCTTTAGTCGGCTTGGAAAGATGGGATATTTGGCACCATAGATCTCCCAAAATGCAAACACAACCAAGACTACAAAGCCAAGAATTAGGGGAACCAGAACATGAGCGGATGTCCAGTCATACTGTTTATATGTCAGTTATTAGAATGACATTTCCAAGACGGGAAATGGGAATCGAACCATATATCCGCCCCACTGCAGTCCAGCCAAGAAGATGATAAGGCCAGAAATACTGAGGAACCCCCCAATGAAGTCTATGCGACTGATTATATCGGATCTCGTTAAGCCTTCTGAATTGACTCGTGGTGGCGGGAAGTAAAAGAGGGCTGTGATGAGCAAACCGAAACCACTCCATGCTCCGCAGAATGCTCCGACATAGCGCCAGCCGCTGTGTGCTGCAATAAGCTGAGCCCACAGTACAGATGGGCAAAAGGGCAAGATGGTGAAGATCAACACTGAAACATATTTTCCTCTTTGTCGAGTTGGAGCCATTTCTGAGGTGGCGGCTAATGCAGTCAACTCATTGATACCTGCACCTGCGCCCGCTATTGCCATCCCCGCTGTATGTTTGTTAGACCCCAATTCAGAGCAATTGATATGGCGGATAACATTATGTGTACCTACCAATGAAAATGTTCATCGTATGTGCCGTACTGCTGACTATCATACCCAGGCAAACAAGGGAGGCTCCGATGAGTGCAACGTATCGACGACCGATCAAATCCGAAAGTGATCCGACAAAAGGGCAAACGCCAGCAAGTGCCAGCAAGTTGGCTAGGACCTGTGTTCATCCAGCAACTATCAGCTCTTGGCCACCTTATCCCTAGTAGGTTACTCACAAACCAAACCCATCGATCCGCACCGCCAATGTCTCCGTAGACGTAAGGTGGTATGCCTCCTAAAAGGCTATTAGAACGTTGATATCCAGCATACAGACGAGGATCTCACCGAAGAGATAGACTGGAATTTGGCTTCCAGTCCATAGGAACGCCATTGCTGTAAATCCCATAAACCGGCGGAAGGTCATCTAGCAATCGACAGAGTTCACAGTCAGTTTCGCGTGTGTACCGCAAATTCCACAGCTGATCAGGTACATACTGGGTTGTCCACAGGCGCACCCATCTCTTCGTACGCAACAACCTCATCATGGCTGAATTTCCTCTCCATATTGCCGGTCGGAGGTGACTCTGCCACTGCCTTTTCATCAGTCTGCGACTGACTTGAGTGATCGGTGAGCTCCATGGGCGTTGGGTGAGCAGGCTGGAGCAAGTCCTATTGGTGCGCAGCGACAACAATCAAACAGAAAACTCGAGATTAGGAAAAAAAAGCAAAATCTCGCTGCAAGCCATACATGTATGTACTATTTATTTATCTCCCTCAGCACAGATCATCATGGTGGGTCTCTAATGATGCTGGCTTGTATAGATACTAGGGCGTGGATCCAGACCGTTTAAGGGTGACGACCCATGGAACCCAGCAGGATGTCAAATCCATCAAAGCGTCACCAGGGAGTGGACAGACCGGAGATACTACCATTCTCAGACACAACCGAGGCAGTTGAGCAAATGCAAGGGCGACCATTGGGCCCTGGATAGCCGACCGGGAGGTTTGACCGCGTGGATGGGATGTGGAGGAGAGGAAAATGCGGGGGAAATCCTGGGGGAGAAGCAGGATCGGGAAGGGGCCCTGCAGTCGCTGAACGGGCAGGCTGCCGCTCCACCAGGCGACAAGTCAACGACGTCGCTTCGGTCTCCCCGGTCTTCAAAGAAAGTCTAAATTTCAACCTTTTCTAGGTTACTGGTGCATAGAATCTATGACCAAAATGTCTATTAATTGTCCGTGCAGAAAAGAGGGGCAATGAATCAGAAGGGGTGTATGTACACGAGGGTGAAAATTTGGATCCATTATCCTGGATGAAGAATTAAGTTCTCAGGAGGGCCTCGCCAATAACAGTCTCCCAGTGTGGCGAGAATGCTAACAAAGTCCAGCCAGGAATAGTCGTCCCTTGCACGACCCTGGCTAGGCAGGATACGGCTGCATGAATTCAAAGGCCCGTCCAGACCTATAGCACCTCTAGATCCTGGCGCAGCCTGGTCAATAGCGTTCTCCAACCTCTTGAAGCTTATAGGACTTGGGGACTACAAAGAGGGCGGAAGCCTCGATACACAACCGTCCCATGGGGTCGCGTACTTCTCCCTTCACCCATGCCTTGCGTTCTGTGCTCCGTTCCTCGTCCAGAGTAGCATGGAAGGTGTAGAAGTTACCCGAGTACACCGGCGCACGGTATTTAAGCTGTAGATTGGCCGTAACTCCAGTGCGTTGTGGAAGATGTCTGATTGCGACTCGGGCTAGATGCTCATCGATCACGGTCCCAAGAGCACCTCCATGAACAACCGTCGGCCATCCTTCTAATCCCGGTCCGACATATGCGACATTGATGGCCTCCTTCTCCTTATCATTATAGAATATTCTCTATGTGACCACTTCGTCAGCCATGTGCCAGGTTTCACAAAAGTTCGTAGAGGCATCGGCATGCACTACAAGGCGAGAACTGACCTGGAATGCTAGCCCTCGGCTGCCTCGTAAAGGACCCGAACTCAGCCTCTGTAATTTATCTTCCTCCGAATAATTGCCGTATACATCAGCCTCTATATAGTCGGGGTTCTCTCGAAGTTCCTTCACGATGGGCAGCCCGTGTTCGTAGATGTAACGGATTTCTTCTAGTCTTTCGCGATCTTCCTCTGTATCGGGCAATGGCGGTGGTGCAAGCTTCCTATCCATCCACTTTCCGGCAGCAATCCCAAGGCTACCGAAAATCGCAATGTACGCCAGGCGTCGCGGCCACCGCGACGGTTGAGGTATCGGTTCATGGGCGGCAGTACTGGTGTTCCTCGAGGGACGAAGGGTGTATCGACATGGTAACAGCGGTTTGTTCTGGAAGAGGCGTAATTGCGACTGTAGGACTCTGCGCGAGGAAAACATGATGCTCACATCGCAGGTTTCATCAACGACGCAGCATTTTTCCAGAGCTCGACGAAGCAACCAGTGATTAGATAAGATAGGGGATCCCTCGGCTCTTGCTTTGTTATCACGTGACTGGAAGGTACGCTGTTGTCTAGATACAATCTACAGCTGGTGCTAGCTACAAGGCAGGTTATTATACTGGTTGACTCAAAACCATCTTTGCAGTACTTTGTTTAGCAGAAACACATGTTCCTAACATTCAGCCATAAGCTCATTATCTATGCATACCGTTTCTAGCCTGATACTCGTGAGATAAAGTGAGGGCCCTGCTTAATTTGTCGTCGGCACCTCAACCGCCCGGTAGAGGAGAATAAGTGCGGAATGGGATTCACCTGAATATGAAGGTTAGACGTCCGTCCGCTATTCAAAATCAAGTAACAATCGTGTCAGGGACTTACCACCACCAGCAAGAGTCTCAATCTTCTCCCCTTCCACTTCGGTAACCTTCTCATCATTGAACCACCACCACTTGTCTTCGGTGCTTGCGCCATCGCCGCTGGGCTGCTTTTTCACGTACGCAGTGTAATGTCCGCTGTCCGCACTTGCACCTTGGTGGGTGATCACACCACGTAGTTCGTAGAGACCCGTCTTGTTCACACCACTGTCCGAGGCAAGACTCGGATCAATGAGCTCAGACAATTCTTTCTTGGCGGCAAGAATTGAGGCGGTCTTTTCAGCTTCGTAATCTGCATCGGACTTGAACACATCGGTCATGGCTTCATCTCCGTCTTTCTCCGCAGCCTTAGGTTCTCCCTTGCGCTCTTCAGCAGCTTTTTTCTTCTGCATCGGCTCCATGCTTGACCCAGATTCGGCCTCTTTCTTTTCTTCCTCCTCTTTCCGGTGAGCGAGCTTTTGACGCTTGCGGGCACGCTCGACATCCACCTCTTCCTTCCGAATCTCACGGACCTTGTCTCTCACGGGAATGAGCTGTTTCTTCAGTTCTTCGGTGCAGAAATCCACCGCATCAAGTTCAGCGGGGAATGTGACCTTTCGCATAATCTTGGCCTTCTTCTGTGTTTCGCGCTTCCAGAAGAACCGAACGAAATGAACCGTCAGGTACTTGGGCAAGCGCGCAATGCGTGAACGCTTGGTATATACGGCATCGCGGTCGAGAACAGAGGAGCGCTTTTCAATCTTCTCTTCGAGACCAGCCATAATACCGTCATGCAAATGGTTGGTCTCTTTACCGATATGACAATCAAGCTTGTAGAAAACGTCGGAGCTGTTAGTAGCTACTTCGCCAGCCTCCTTTGCGGCCTCCTCGTCGCATTCGGTGGTGGATTCAAACCCTCCAGCCATGTACTTGTCCACGAACGAAACCTCAGCGGCAGAGTCACCTTCGCCCTCCTTCACAACCAGCTTGTTACGCAACTGACTCACGATTTGTGACCAGGCCTCTTCGGCATCCTGTTGGGCATAGCCATGTCCATTGCGATCCCTTTGAGCAAATTGGGGGAAAGCATTTCGCAGAGCATTGTGAAACATGAGCGGCGGGAAACCTTCTTGCGTCTCCGACATTTGCTTGAAGAGGTCTCGCAAAGAGGACGTGAGATCCATGGAAGCACCCAAGCCGCCAAGACCGAGACTACTGAGGTTCGAAAGGCTAGAGCCTCCAGAAGAGCCGCCAGAAGGTCGGTACTTGAGCAGCGCATCCTGAAGTTCGGGAACGCTTCGCAGTGTCTGTAGCGTTGAATTCAGGTAGCAAGTATTTCCAAGGTTCTGCAGACCTGCAGGCGTTGCACCCTCCGCTCTGGCAGCTTCAGCTTCAGTCATGTCCTCCAAAAACTTGACGACTTCCTTTGGTCTACCCAAGTCCCCAGCACCTTGACCGCCCGACGGAGTGCCCATCATCATGAACGTTTGGCCGGGTTTGGCGTTGAGGGAGGACAATGGTGTGTCATCTTTGAGCTGGCCACCCTTGACTAGGATCTTCTGCCGCTCGGGTTCGACGCCAGTGAGAGAAAATAGCTGGTATTTGAGCGTTTCGCCGTTCAGGGAAGGGTCGAGCTCCACCTCGTAGCGTTTGCCCTGGTGCTTTACAACAACTGCGTCATGGGATCAGCGGAGAAGTAACGAGATGGCTTGGAATAGAGCACATAGCCATGAAGATACTTACCAGGTATAGAAGCCATTGTGACTTGATTCAAGGGTCTATTTTGGATGCGATTGATACCTCCTCTGAGGTCTGGCGGTAGGATGCAGTTGCGTAAACAACGACTGCGTCAGTCATCGTCGGAGAAAGCGTGGGGCAAACGACGGCCGTACTACGGCGAACTATAGCAACCATTATGCAACTATACTCCTTCGAGACTTCACCGCTTTGTTGCTTAGCAGGAGCTCACCCCTCTCTCCCCACTAACCACTACCTGTGGTAGCCCGGCAGGGTTACAAGGCGCGCAGAACCTGGTGTTTTAATTGACCGTCGGATGTAATTAGTGACTGTTCTCAATGATTCTATATCCCCAATTATGTATGAGTAAAGGACAAATAAACTCAATCAATCCAGATCTAATAGACTATCTCTACACTGGCTATGTAGAGCGACCTGGGCGCGTTAACTGATTCTGCCGGCAAAATACCGGACCCCCGATGCCATTTACCGGTTGGCCGCTATCGTCCGCCGTACTACAGGCTACATCGCTGCCGGGCGGCGGGACGTTGCTCCTGACGCAGCTATTCAGGTACTTAGGTGACGCCCGCTCTGGTAGTAAAGGCTTTGAAACTCATTGGGAGGTTCTGACATTTTAATCGCGGATCCTCTGCTTGCTAACTGTGCCTTACTTGCATTTTTGACAATTGTCTTCTTATCAAGCTCGCCAGCGACCTTCTACTCAGCACTCCGGGGCGCCGCCTATACGTCACAACCCCCATTATGGTGATTATCAATCTTGTCCAGGGGTTCGATTTACAAACCAAGCTGACAGGACCAGTCTCAATCATTGCGTCCATACCTGTTGGCTGTTAGATCCTCACTAACGGCAGCACTCGCGATATCGAACTTCGCTTCTCAAACCTCCGAAAGACAGTACGTTGGGCCGATTCCCACCCCCTCACCCTTATGGGTCAGACGAGGCTAATTCAGGTATCCGGACAGCAATGTTCCCGAAATTGAAGCCGCAACTTCTCCCGAATTACTTCTCAACCCCCTTACAATCTCCCGGAATGAGAACGAGAGGGTCCTTATCGAGCCCAGCGTGAACAGTGTCCGTGTCAGCATCCGAATCAAGCAGGCAGATGAGATCGAACATATCTTGGTCCACAAGTTCACTAGGTTCCTGACGCAGCGCGCGGAATCCTTCTTCATTCTACGGAGAAAGCCAGTGAAGGGTTATGACATCTCATTCCTTATTACGAACTTCCATACCGAACAGATGCTGAAACACAAACTGGTGGACTTTATCATTCAATTGTATGTTTCATCTGCATTGCCCATATGTCGTTCGATAAATGAGAGGCTAACGACTTCTTCGTCTAATAGTATGGAGGAAGTGGACAAGGAAATCTCGGAAATGAAGCTCTTCGTATGTCCCTTTGTGTCTCTGATTGATGGAGGCTTCTGACCAACATTTCCTCTAGTTGAATGCCCGTGCCCGTTTCGTTGCCGAGTCGTTCCTGACACCGGTAAGTCGCCCTGGTTTCTTTAGTTGAACCTGACTGATAGGATTACAGTTCGATTAGATCACCCCAGCTTCATGGTTGGCACATGACCTTGATCTTCCCTTCCTCTCAGGAACATATCTTGTACAGAAGTTTGATGCATGTTCCTTTCTGCAGTCGTCCATATTATATCTCGAAATCAAATTTGTAGCGACCAATTCATCCATTACAGGGAGATCCAGGCTGCGTAGAACCGAACACTCTGTGTTGTGTACGACTAAGTCTGATTAAGGCTGCTGTAAGTCTCAGCATTAATTACGTTCTTAGATCCCTCTGCTTGCTATGACAGTGCAGATGATCATATCCAGATGGTGGGGGATTCATCGTCTGAGCTTCATCCGGGTCGACCCGTTGTTCGTTCTCTCTCAGTGCACGGTGTGTTCCATTTGCACACCAACAAAGTAGTAAAGGCGGCAAATGCAAACGAGAATGACAGCATGAAAAGCAAGTTACCTTGTTCTTGCCTCTCCATCTAAACAGTGAACAGAGGATCCGCATCATCCTGTACACTCGACGGGTCCCGGGGAATCTTATCAGGGACATGTGTTTCTTCTATTAACCAGACTGACCGGCCGAGCTCATGGCTCTTTGGATGGCTTTCACTCGGTCATTACATCGTTGTCGTTCATGGATGCCATTCAAATACCTTTCCCATTACCTGCACACTGTTCATCAGATGATACTTGAGTAACACCTCAAGTGAGTAACAGCTCTCACATACAAAGGGACCAGTGAATTAGCAGATGTGGCAGCGCGTGTAGGGTAACAAATAAAGACCCTCCTCCCCCCCAGGATCTTCTTCCCAAGTCATCTCACAACCTTCTCTCGCTGAGGTTGTTTACTTTACCTTTCTCTTTGCTCACTTGCTTCGCATTTTTCTCACCTACTCCCTCTTCCTCGCTCATCTTCATCCTCATCCTCACGTTATTACTTTCTCTACTGCCATACAGCCTCGAACATGGCGTTTTCCAGACAAGACCACCTTTCTCACAGGCTCAATATGCCTCCCTTTGGTAGGATCCCCATCAATCTTTCCAGACCTCAAGAGCCACAGTACAATCCTGTCGCTTCCAGAAATGTGTATTACGACCCTTTCCTAGGCTACGCCCCAAACCCATCTGATGATACCGTCTGTATTCCCTTTGCTACCAACCGCCTCACCCCGGTTCCTGTCCAACCAGGTCGGCTTGAACAACCAGGAGCGTCCTCCACTCTCTTGACCTCTTCTAGTATCCCTGTGATGAATATCGGCAACAATAAGCCTGGACCCTACGTGAATCTTGCAAGCTATCCCAACCCTATTAGCAGAGCTGCTCCGTCAAACGAGGTGCCATACGGGAGCTTGGTCCGCTACATGGAAGCCCCTACCTGGGGTGTCATCAAGATTTCGAACGTAAGTAACTGACTGACTCGTTCTTCAGCGAAGTCTACTAAACTTGGGTCAGATCCCCTACTCCATCACCAAGCAGGAGATCTTCCAGTTTGTTGGCAGACAGGCGCGGCTTGTTGCGGGCCACGCAGTCCACATTATCATGGAGCGTCCCACTGCTAAGACGATGGATTGTTTTGTGGAGTTTGCTTCGACTGAAGACGCTGAAGAGACGGCGAACCGAATCAACCGCATCTATGAATGTGGACGTGCGCCTCGACTCGGCAATAGGCACGTTGAAGTTGAGATCAGCAACCAAGAAGACCTGCTGAAAGATTTGTTTCCACGTGCGAAGTGCATAAGCTGGGAAAATGGTACGCCTAAAGCTGTGGAGAATACTGACAGATATTCCACCGGCTTTACTGGCTTTTTTACCAGTGAAGAGATCATCGGCGCCATTCGTCACGCTGAAATGCCTCAACGTGTAAGCCCTTCAGCCGACTTCGTTTCAAAGCAGAGATGCCTAACAACTTCTTAGTCTCCATTCGGTGCCAAGTGTCCCCAGCGTACTTACGAATCTACCATAAGCACGCTCTATAAGGTAGGGTCTGGCCCCGATGAAAGTGGTAGTATTCTGACAGGGCATAGTTTCCTTGGTATGCAACCGACATGTACACCGTGCACGACCGTAATCAGCTATTCGAGTTGACAAACCGTCACATACGTTCTCTGGTGTCACGGATGGAAAAGTCCAAGACCGTTGGGCTTGACCACCGTCTGCTCCGCGAGCTCCTCTACGCCGGTTTAAATTGCCCCGCATTTAATGAGCGCCAGAAATATACTCTTTGCATTCACGCCGGCGAGAAAAGCGAGATTCTCAAGTTGGGAGACATGAGCAAGTGGTTCCCCTTCGATACTCTGGTCTACCTGCCTGGCTTTGACTATGACACCTGCGCGGTATGTATCTCTTCGGAACTATATTATTTTGTCAATACTCTTCTCGGCGTGCCATCTAGTCATGCATTCTTCGCCCATTATTTCCTTTCACTGATAGTTGCAGCAGTTGTATGCCAGTGTGATCGCAAACGGTAGATTCGAAGGCGCCTGTCGCGAGTTTCCGAACAATTTCCCTGCTGGCAATACCACTCTCATATCACCCTTCGGTCGCATTTGGTTCGAGTGGCCAACCGATGTCGCTAAGAATACACTTTGGGTTGACGCCGTTAATCGTGAGACCAATGTGCTCAACTGCCTTCTTCAGAGCGGCTCCATGGGAACAATCCACAGACCACTTTCAATGGCTAGCACCTCAAGCAGTGTTTCCCCCACCTCTCCAATCACTGATGAAAGTGTGCCCCGAAACGAGAATGTGTCCCGGGTCAGCGTTTTACAGGCCTCATCGCGTCGTGCCAGCGAATGCTGGAACAGCGGCAGCGGCAGCGCCCTGCTTGATACCGAAGGCATTTGGGGTCAGAAGGTATTCTTTAGCCCTCCGAAGAAATTCCGAGCTCCTAGTCACCGCATCACCCATTCATCGCCCAACTGTCTCAAAGATTTGAACCAGTGAGGTCTACCGTGGCAGGAGTAAGAATACCGGGGATATGCTGTGCTGAGCGTTTCTGAATAGGTACTGTCTTACCTGAAGTGCCTTCTGGACAGAGTTCAGGATCTGCGGATATTAGTTGTATTTTCATACCTTGGTGTTGCGGCCCAGAACCAGAAGAGCAACCGTCATGTATTGATGAGGAACGAAGATATGATTATGACTAACGGAGTACTTTGGTTTATGGAAATGGTTGGGTTTAGCGATTTAGTGCGATATCAACTGGGATCCCTTTGGGGCCATTTTGTGCTCTCCTTACTCCGCTGTTTGCTTTGCTTTTCGAAGTCCCTTTCTTCCGTTGAAACAATTTCATATACGGCCAGGTGTTGACGAATTTCGTTCTTTCATTGAGCTACTAACGTGAAACTGAAACTGATGCCGTTCTTCTCGTCTCTTTGCATATTGTTTTCAAAATCATCTCTGTTGTATTCAATTTAAATAGCCAATAAAAACCCGAATTGGGAGCTCTAATTACTCCAGACTTGCTCCCGACAGATCCAAATCTGCGTCAACTTCCTTCCTCTGATTTTGCGCCAGCTGCTTCCTCTTCAGTCCTTCTGCCCTCATCCTCTCCCTTCGCTTCTCCGGATCCTCCCAACCAGGGGGCTTAGACTTTCCTTTCGATTTTGTGTGGTCCGTCGAACAAAGATCTAATAAATTCGCGCGAAATCTTTCCTTACGTTCAGAGTTCACAGCGAATCTTTCATTCGAGATAGCAACCAGCATCTCGAGAAACTCTTCTGTGACCAGACTGCGGATAATGGGTTCTCCATTGTCATCATTATCATCATCGGTTTCTTCACAATACCCGATGACAGACTCCAATGAGAGACCGGCAGAGCGCACAGCGACGATGGGGCTTGGGCCCTCAATGTCATTCGCCTCTAAACAACGTAGACTCTGCAGTCCACTCTCACGAAAGCCGGAGGTTGAAGCGGCAGATAGCACGGGGTGAGCATGGTGTAATGTGGCCGTCATTATATGGAGGATCTGTTGGAAGAGTTTGTCAGTAGATGAGCATTGATGAACAAGGTACGTGCTATTTTGTATGGAACGCAAGCCTCCATAGCTTACAGGGCAAACCGGGGGTTGACTGATAAGGCTGACACTACAAACCCGGACATGGCAAGAATCATGGCAGAACGCAAGCGTGGTAGGGACCAACAGGGTACCAAAGAGGGGAAGGGAAGGACGTACCATAGGCTCAAAAGAGAAGCGCACGAGACGCGGGGCTTGACCATCCTTGTTTAAACCGGGTGGCCTGCCATCCCCAGGCATCATCCCAAACAACTCATGCAGTGGCTGGCGCTCTTGCTCTTTTTCTCGCACCTTCCCATATTCTTGCAAGGGCTCATGAGACACATATAACCACTTTCCTGCTCCTTTGCCCCCGGAAGGTACGAACTGCCTCTGCTGTTGCTGCTGCTCGTCTGACACCGCTTGCTGCTGCTGTTGCTTCTTTCGCCCCTCCAGGAATACACTGATCCTTCCCGCACAGCTGCTAGTGGTCACCAACCCTGGTAGGGTATTAATATCATTGATGAGGATGCGAATACCTTCATCCACAGAGCCCTTCGGCGACAGATCAGTATACTCTGCGTCCGGGATGGACAGGTCGGCGAGAATCTTGCGCTTGCGAGATTCAAAAACCTCAGGGATCATGGTTGTCAATGAGGACTCCATCGAGAGGGCTGTCGTGTGCTCGTTCACTATTGAGTCCTTGCTTGTCTAGGACTTCTTCGAACAGACGCATGCAACGAGCGCTGGAGTAAACTACTATAGGCAGGCTAGAGATCCAAGGGCCGCTAGAGGGGTCGTTTCGCTTGTCGAAAACCCCCCACTATCTCTCACCCTCCGAATGATGAAGAGTAACGCTGATGATCAAGTGGATCAATAGGAATTTCTAATCCCAGCGCCTCACTTTGAATCAGGGCTACACCAAAGTATTTGTCCTTGTTGGTTGGTTGATTGATACTGCTCGTCACCCTGGTGGACCTGCAAAATCCTTCTCGAACCTGACGTCGACTTCCCGAGAGAACGCACTAAGTTTAGCGGTGCGGGAAGCAAAGAAAGTCACCCGCGCTTTTCCCACGCGAAAAGTGCCCCAGAAGTTACCAGCCTTCTGGTCTCAGTTCCCGGTCCCTTTGTCCGCGTCGAACCGCCTGAAAGTCAATCTGTCGCTAGCTACGGAGTACATCCGTACCCGGACCAGGGTCAATGAACTCGTCTAATAGCATCCGAACAGCTTATATTCGTCATTGATTTCCTCGATCTCTCTTCTAATTCATCCGATCTTGCATCATGGCGTACCTTAGTAGCTAGTGTTACCCGCCGATAATTCTCCCTGCGCGCAACTTACAAGAATTGTACGAACTACCAAACCAAAAAGTGCGCAAGTCCTATCCATGTCTAGTCGATCGTCTCGGGCCGTTCCCGCTTCGGCAGCAGCTCCAGTGTCCGGCGCCAAAAAGGCGCGCGTCTACCAGATTGTCCGAATTCTCCAGAAATGGTTCGAAGGAACAAAAGTACGATGACACCACCCCTAAGAGAGCTACCAAAATATCGCTTTAAAAAGCAAATATCTTCAAACAACAATCTCCCGGTGAACGAAAGCCCGAGCCTTTGCAGGTCTCTGTACCGTATTCCGCTAGCCACAACAACCCAGACACGTCATTCCCCGCATCCTCTGGTGGAAGACCAAGGTTATCGAGCGCAGCGACTCCAAAACACAAGTGTTAAGTGTTTAAGTCCCCCGGGAGCGCACTGAAAAGAAGTATAAAAATAGTCAGAAGGAAGCAGAGCCAATTTACCTTGTTGAACGGGTCAGAGGCGGGAAAAACTGGGTGTCATCGAAGCTGACACTGCCACCTCCCCCCATAAGCTCACAAATGCTGAGCCCTTGGCAAGGGGGTATTCATCAACAAGCCTAAAGTGACCAGTCCAGAAGCAGTGGCCTACCAGGACAATACCCTCCCTGCAATACAAATTCAGTTCTTTCTGCAAGAATTCGCTGAGACTTGATGGGGGCGTTTTAGAGGTATCATCAAAACCAACGTGTGCGGATGAAGTCGTTACACTTCAGACTGAGATTTATTTGAGCTGATTGCAGGGCAAAAAAAGGGGCTACCACTCATATATTTTGGAAGTGTTTGAGAAGCTCACTGATATGCTCTCTGAAGGACAGCCCGAATTCAAAGACACCTGGAGAGATATGGTAAGTGAAGATGAAAGGCAGTCGCTCGAGATATTGACTGCGGAGAAAGCCATAATCGATACGCCTTGCTCTAAACACTGGGCATACGCAGAGACGTAAGGTTCAGCATGGATCGCACACCGGATTAGGTATGATAGAATGTGTATTTCTAACATTATCACTTTGACTTCCTGTGCGATGATACTATGCGAGGCTAGTCAAGCTAACCATGAAAACCGAGTAGATACAGTTCGCCGCCACTGGGCTATGAGCATATGCTGCACTATGCTGAGACTGGTGTCAGTCAAGCCCTTATCAGATTCTGCGCAGGGAAAGAGGGGATGCCCCTACTTACTACGTTTCATACCAGCCTGAGAACTTGCTTTGTCGACGAGTTAGCAGAGACGAAAGAACGCATACGCCACGGTCGCAGTCACTCTCGACCCATGCGTCTTCCTTGTCTCGTCTAGCAACCAAGAAGATCTTCCACTCCAATCGCAACATCCAAGACCACTTGACCCAATCAATTTGAGCTTCTTCCCTTGCTGTTTATCGCTTCCCCATGTGCTAAACTCGAAATTCGGCGCTATTCTTCGACGGACTTCGGTGGGTTATTCAGCTGAAACCGTGGTAGCCTCTGATCAAGACGCCTTGTAATGAACAATAGCAGCTAACAAGGATTCGATGTGGTTAGAGCCCGAAATCTGGAGGCATGAGGCTGAAAAGCTTTAGCTTCGAGGCAAATGGGCTTGAACTTGAACGACTGAAAGCAATCCTGAGGAAACTTTTACGTTGCTAGAACTTCATCACGATGCTGAATGATGAAAGAGGTCAGTTGCGGAGGACTTCTGCAAGCACATTGAGCAGAGCGCACCCAAGCGAAGGCCTAGGATATCTGGCCCTCCCTCGCGTCTCCATGTTACCTCTATCCGGTAGACGTCGAAAGGCCATGACAGTGATTGCAATGTGAACTTCCTGCATTTTTATTTCGGTCCACCGCGCTCAACGAAGGCTTGTACCTGGGTCGGTCCCCAGTGACACCTAGGGAGATTCCTGGTCCATCAGTGTTATTGCTAATACGTCTCATCTGATTGGGAACATGGACGTCATCATTATCCCAGGTATTTTAATACCATCATCTCCCAAAGAAGACAGAACGAGGGTGACAAAGTGGAAGATGGCAAACTGGTGCCAGATGGTGAAGCATCTCACAGGGGGATGTTAGCTAGCTCTGACGGCCACTTCCGAGGTGTCACACTCTCCCACATCAGGGAAAACGACACCGTTCGGCGTCAAAGACTGCAAGGAAAAAGACCAGGGCCATCTCGACGAAAAGCGCCGCATCTAGGGTCGATAGCCCCTGGCCCCATGAAAGGGGAACACGCCAGATTGGGGATGCAGTTCACGACCTCCTGGCTGCCTGTGATGGCAGGTCTGCCGTGTGTTCTGGGTTGGAGGAGGTGTAAGCGCAGCCGCGAACGGGACCCTCCGACTGGGCCTACCCGAACCGTGTCTGCGCTCCGGCTCTGCACCCTGGGGCCACGCTGGGTGGATTGATTCTTGCACTTGCTGGCTGAGTCCGCCCAAGACCGTCGGTGGATCACTAGATTCATTCCTTTTAGTCTCGACGTCCCAAGGTGCTGTCCAGTTCTTGGTTCTGACACGGAAATTGCCTGCGCCGTCCCACCAAAGTGCTTTGGTCTCGAAGAGTTTTCTGCACCGTCTCTTTTGTTTCCATGGTTCAGCATCTGCCGCCGTCCCGGCGGGTCTCCGCTTCGTCCAATTACGATACTGGGAGAGCTTCTTGTCTGCCTAGGGCTACCAAATCGATAATGAGAATATCCAGCTGCTCCTCTTCGTTGTTTCACCATCGACGCGTCTCTCGCAGATGAAGAGGGGAGAGTTTGGTACCAATATGCACAAGAGAGGTTGACAGCTCTGACTGGGATCATGGAACCCTTCGTAAGCCATACCACCCATTGTTCCCTCGCCGTTTAGCCTTTTTCCCCCCGCCTGCCCGCGCCTGCGTCTATTGGATTTTAGTTGCCGTATCAATCATTACAAGGCCCTTTCCACTGTGCCCCTTGCCCCTCCTCTTTCCCTTTCCCTACCTAGCCTCCCAGCGGTGTGTCTTCGGGCGCAATGTTACCCACCCTCAACCAGTTGTACTCAGAGGATGGTCAAGTGCCGCGACAAAAGCCTCTGTCGTGTTGTGGGAACCTCGTAACTGACCTCAAGAAATATCATCCGACAGGTCACGTACTCCAATAGCATCGTCAAGCCGATCCAGTGCAGGAGAAAACAGTTCAGCCTCCGAAGAGATGGGATGAGTGACTCATGGTTGGGGATCGTATACCCTGATAAGGAATTCCAGGACCGTGAGTACTCGTCGGTCTGGTGTGTAGATTCTGGATCCGTAGGTGAGTAATGTTGTCTCATTGCCATGGCCATCTCCACCCATGTTGTCTCTCCTTCACCTGTCCTGTGGATGGGAATAACCTTCCCGTTACGGACGGTTGCGTGGTGTACCTTTGGTCTACAGTCTTTCTGGCTCTCGACCGGGTCCATGAGAGGATCAGGATGCTACCACATTTGCTTCCCTTTGACCGGTTATCCTGTAAAATCGGTACGACATTCGTTCCTTACTGCGCTAAGGACCTGGCATACTCGAGCACCTAGTTCCGGGATTCCTTTACCGCCAGTTCTCATCCCCCAATGACGATGGCCATCATGCCAATGACCCCCAGGACTGCGTGGGACTTTTGAGATTCAGGCCTTCAGGATGATACTACTGACGTGCATGTTATGGCCTGCTGTCCGCGCGCCGCAGCCGGGCCGTCGGACGTGCCGTTAGCTCCACGACGTTGGCCATCTATCAGCAGCAGCAGGTTATCCACTTCTGCACGAGTGCGAATTCGTCCATGACTTGACTCTCACAGGTCACTGCTTCCCCTCGTCCCATTGAAGCAAACATCCGCACTCTGCATCAGTGCCCAAATGGCTAACGCACAATTCCTTGTTTCACTCCACGGTCTTGTAAGACCTGAGTGGGGAGGGAATTTGTACAGCCCCTCTCCCCAGGTTGTCATTCCCCGGTCTAGCCAATGCTACGTCGGAAGCATATCCTCTGCGGTCCGGACAGCTGTAAGCCCTGAGGGACCCAGAAGAGAAAAAGTGGAAAGGGGGTGTGAGTGTGTGTGCCGCACAAGAATAGATGGAGAGACAACCCACCCCGAGAAAAAGGCCTCCGAATCAGCACTTGCAATTCCATTGCGCCCTGCGAAATTCTTCTCCCGGGCACTACAAAGTTGTCTTGCCTGCAAGCCATGAAACTTTGTGCTTGTCAACGATCGGCTATGATTCGACCCATCGTCCACACTACCAGCGGGGCATTCCGCTCAATAGGCGCGCATCCCATCGTTTACCCAGTGCCCATCGCTTCACCCAACTTCCCTTTCTGGCCTCGATAGGCGATCATCACTCATTTCCCCCTCAATGGAGCTCTATCACCTTCTTCTTGATTCGTCCCCCTTTCTCATCCCCCATCTTCGCTACCGTAGGAGCTGAAATTCCCTTGAGAAGCGGTGACAAAATTCGCAGTGGAGGAAGCGCGCCAGGGTGGAAAAGAGACGCGGAACCTGAGCCTTCATTGTGTGCGCCGTGGGGCCCATCTAGATTATGCGCGATATCCGTGCTCAAAACTCTTTTTGTATGGCCAATATCTTCGTTCGGCTACGCTTAGCACTGGATCCGCGATATCTCTCGATATGCTTAAGTGTAATTGCTTCTAATTGCCTGTGGAGCCTCTATTTCCCCTCTTCATGTCTCCAATAGAGACTAGATATTCCCAACTTTTTCGGCATTACCGTGGCTGCAGCCCCTTCCCTCTCCCCTCTTCATCCTCCTCGGGCACAGAGGTGTACACCAAGTCCCACCACCCCCTAAATCCTCTCTCCTCTTAAGCTAGTTACGCACACAGAGGAAGAGGGGTGACGAGAAGGAAAGAAAGAAAGAAAGACACATACATGATTCGAAAATAAGTACAATAAAATACTCCTCAAATTCGAGTACGCGGGAATGGAATAATAAACGTCATACCGGTTTCGGTAATTGGAGCCAAACAAAGAGTCGATGGCGCAACTCAATAATACGGGCCCCCAATTCGAGCTGAAGAGTAATACAAGTAGTAGACTGGCAAAGCTTTGCTCTTATTGTTCCAGATACGGAACTCGTTTCCTGAACACGATGTCACTGTAGTTGGTTACTCTGGGTTGGCTGACTGGTTGGCTGGCTGTGTACTATCCTTTTCTGTCACTGGTAGAAATACTAGACACGGCAATGAGTTTCGGTTTGTAGAGACCGTTCAAGAAGGTCTTAGGAGTGGTTGGTAGGGAATAGGACCATGTCATTAACAAAGAGGAAATATACTTCGTACTTTGGTTTCCCTAAAAATCGTGCAGCGAGCTTGACGGCCTAGACGCATGTTTGCTTTTTTCGAAGATTTACATCCTAATCTAGATAGTGCGCTGCTGGTGTCGCTGGGCTTCTATTCATACGACGTGAACTTGGGTCTGCTTCGATGCAATCCTACCCCCCTCCTTTAGGATGAAAGACGAGGGAAGAAGATGGTGGAAACAAGGAGTACCGCCTGTCATTGTTCCACCCTTGCATACAACCGGCCGAAGGTAGAGAGTACACTCCTGCTGTTAATCATGGTTGGTTGACTGCGGCTGATGACCGCGCCCGGAGATTAAGTTACTAGGAGCAAAAATCAGCAATGTGATGTGTCGTCGGGTGCTTTGCCGTAGATCCTTGGTTGCTGGTTACGAGAGCCCACCCCCCGGAGGGCTGTCCCCAAGTATCCTTCCAGTCGATCCGGCAAGCAGGACTATGGATGAAGGATTGAGCAATTCCAGCACCAGCTGACTATCGGTTAGTATTATATGTTCAGTATATTCCCCGTCGCGTTTTTTTGTCCAGCTAGCAACGCGTTGGGACACTAGATTTAAGTTAGGATAGTATGAAGTGAAAATTGCCCGCGTCGCCCGTGGCTGTGAGCACTAGAAACTGAAGTAGTATGTAGGGGAGCCTGATCGTTTATTTCTGCGAGCGGGGATCTCGAGGGTTGTGTGGCCTGTGTGCATCTGCTTCGGTTTTGCCACCCTGACGGCTTAGGGCCCAAGAGGGTAGAGAAAGGCGCGTTAGCGAGTAGAGTGGTTACAAGCCATCCCTACCAGATCAGGCATCGGTCACCAAACTCTTCTTTCCGAGCCTAACCTCCCATCCCATCGTCACGCGACGAAACGCCTGGACGGGGAGTGTAAGTGTACCACCCAGAGTCCTCGTACAGGTTGTCACACTTGGATTGCCGGGCTCTTTATCACAAGATGTTCCCATGTGCAGGGGGTCAGATGCGCGATTCGAACCGACCCGAACCGAAATAATTCAGAACTGAGAATGTAAGGCACAGAAGGGGAGATTCTGGTACGACTTCGTGGCGCTGAAGCCCAGATCTCTCCCCTTGGATCGAGTTCCGGCTGGGAGGAAGGGCAGGGCAGCCTGGCAGGGCCATCTGGAGTTGTTTGTCTCCTCGTTTCGCCACGTCATAATGTGAGGAAGATCGCTCACACTTGCCCACACACACTTTCTACCCGAGCGAGCACAGACAGGCTCCAGGAGGTGAACCTGGTTCTCTGCCCCCTTCTTCCTTTAGGGCCAAGCCACTGAACCATCACCCTATGCCAGTCGCTCTGACATCCCGCCATGGATGCATTACCGACAGTTTCCGACATCCACGCCAGCCCCAAAACGGGCGAGGATATTGTGATGGGCTGACCCAGGGCGCCTGCTCATAGGCCCCCTAGTTATCACGTGACCGTAGCCGTATGCGGGCTGATCGATGATCCCAGCTAGCATGGCGAGCTTCCCGTCTTGCTCTTCCCGTTGCCGGCGGTAAACTAATACTGTTCAGGTCCAAACGATGATTAGTTAGTTCCCAAGTGGAAGGATTCCAGACCGCCTTCCTACCGACAAACGCGGCTCTCCGGCCTGGCCAATTGCCTCAAAGCTTCCGTGCTTATGCCCTCGGAGACTTGAAGAAAAGTAAGGTACCTTACTCACCTACGTAGGACTAGTACCTTGGTTCCTAGTACCTCCTGCAGTAGCACCTCACAGGTGCTTAGTGCCAGTCTCCAGAATTCTCAATGTTGCCTCCCACGGTGGACAAACATCCAAGCATCATCACGATGATGACGCATGATGACTGGATGCCCCAAGTTGGGCCGCGGAAGTACTTCCTCGAACCCCTGCGCCCAAAGATCACCAGCCACCATAGAACCATGGACTTTGCTGGCGGCCAAGAAGAATCGGCGTTGGTCACGGTGGAGAAGGATCCTGGAGATACCGGAGACAACGACAACCAGGAAAGAAAAGCCCACCACGCAGGTGATGGTGGGTTCTGGCGGCAACGGAAAGACGCGGACGCCAATGCACGGGGCCGCTGAGGGTCGAAAAAAACGTGGCAAGGGAGACTAATGGACGAAGGAGAGAAAAGGGCAACGCACCAAAAAGGGAAGGCAATGAGCTAATGAGGAAACGAAATAATGGCGCGCCCTCAATTGCGACCGTCGTAACGCCGCGTTATTACCGGTTATAGTATTACCGCGTTTCCGGCCGCCGGTTTGGTTTCGGTTTCTGTTTTCATTTCCGTTCCCGCTTGTATGGTACCAAAGCAAAAGATACCACCACACTCAGGCCCCCAAGCCAAAAGCCATCTCCATTTATTTGGGCCCTTAGGAGGAAGCACATATTATGTGTGTTGTATGGGCGAAAAAGTGAGGCTGGCTGGCTGGCTGGACTGGGCTGGGCTCTGACAGTTCAACATGTGGAACAGCAAGCGGGAAAGCGCAATTTTTCTGGCTTGTTGCAGCATCCTTAATCAACTTACATGATATGAGCGAGGTGCATGGACCTTGTACGGTGTGCTGATGTGGGAGCACCTTACCTGGGCTACCTCCAGCCATTGGGGCGTGTGCAAGATGCGAGCTCTTATCTATCCTGTTCAAGAAGCAATGGATGATGATTTTCTTCGCTGTAGGTCAAGGCCGCGAAAACCAAACGCATCGGATCCTGCAAGTCACTGATAGTAGTTGACCGAGATAAACAGCGACGGAGTGTGGATCTAGAAGGTGAAGGAGGGGAGACTGAAGGGGAACAAGGAGAGGAGGGGAGCTTAGGGATTGGAAGGTGCGAGGGGGCCATTGAGGCTGGAGGGTGTTGCGAAGCAGGAAATGGAAGAAAGGGCTCGAGTGTCATTCATTTGGCCCGACCAAGCGCATTGACAGAGAGATGAGACAGTTTTGCTGACATTAATTACCTTTTCATCTTCAGTAGTAACCGTCATATGTGGTGGATTCCGGATGAGGAAAGAGGATGATGACTTGGATAGCATGGTCCTCGCAACTCTCAGACACTCCCACAGAGACACACACACACTTTCGCTCTCACACACTACACTTCCTGCATAAGATCGGCGGGAGTCGGGGCGGCCCGTCGTGGACATGACCAGGAGAATGACTAGCAGGGCGACGATGATAGGGGGGCCGGTTGCCCAACGCCCTGACACAAGCGCCTCTGCATCCGGGTCACAGCACCAATCCTCGGCTCCGTTTGCGACCGTGCAATTCCGACAATCTTGTTCTGCTGACGCCTTGTTCTGGTCAAATTGAGAATTATTGTGCGCTCGGGGGTCAAATTACTTCTTCAATTATTTTACGGTTTCGTTTTTTTCTTTTAATTTGACTCCATAATGGCTCATGTTCAATTACTGGATAAAATGATTCTCGTATCGACACATTTCGGAGTCGAAGGAGGGTGTACCCTCAGAAAGTACTAGCTAATAACCTAACGGCTTGCAGCCACATAATACAGGCTAAGTGGACAAGTTACGGGAGTGAAATAGATTAAAGGTTCACTACTATGGCCACGATGAGAGTGATGACGACCACCAAAGACAAAATAAGATAGAAATAATAAAAATAATAATAGAAAAAAAAATAGAAAAGAATTGCCAATGATAAAAGAAACCTTGTTAAAATGGGAATGTTGTTCTTTTCAGCACTCCCCCAAAACGGAAGTTACTGCTGTCACACGATACCGTCGACTGATGTCATGCTACTGCTCCCTCCGTCTACGTTGACGACTATTGCACCCAATCCCCGACCTCCTACGTGAGAGATAATCAATCAATGATGGACTCAACGGATGATGGAGGGTGGGAACACAAAGGGGTTCGCACTTGGCCGTGCTATCTCAGTGTGATTAGGTTGCAGATGCTTGGACTTGTTACGGATGAGAGCGGTGATGACTCTGCCTCCACAGCGAATCGTCGTTGCCAGCCACGTCTTCTAACTTCCACTAAGCACCTACCCATGAAGGGCTAGAGACTAGCTCCCTTGCCGCTCCCATGTGCCCAGTGGGTGCATCCGTGTCTGCCTGTCTGTCAGATTCACCGGTTTGGAATCTCTTTCCCCTCAAGAAAAAAGGGAACACTTCGGCCATTGCGACATAAAACAAGGATCTTGGCCGGCCCCATTTTCATAACTTCATTGAATCTTGGATATGTCACCAGACCCCGCACAAACATGCACTTCCACAGTCCACACACACACACACACACACACACATACTCGAATCCCAGGCTCCGGGACACGGGTGCTATCTCTCCGAAGAAAATAAAATAAAAAAATTAAAAACGTTGTGGCTGACTACTTACTATCTGTCCCGTACTAACTACCAGTCCCCAAATACCCATGGCCGTTTCCCGCTCGACAGAAATTGAACCGGGTGACGCTAATGCAAGTTATTTTCAATCGCTACCGATCGGGCCATGGTCATGCCCGTCTGGCGCCGTCCCAAGGCTGTAGCACTGGGAAACTTAGAACTCCCCACTATAAGTGTGTCTCTCACGGCCCTTCCCTTCATCAACTAATTGATGCTAGGGGGCGCCGCTCGCTCATACTAAGTATCTAAGCGCCATCCTTTGTCACAGGGCCAGGCGGAAGGATGGTCTTACACATCATACGTGCGACTTGATCCAGACACACACACACACACACACACACACACAACTTTGATAACTAGTGAGTGAGGGTCAGCCTGATTTGTCAAAGCACAGGAACACGCACAAGCATTCTGCAACCTCTTTTCGGGCTTTCCTAACTCAAGATTATCTCATCGTCGTGCTCGACACCGCCACAATATCCACCGATTAGATGCCTGAAGCGGCAGGTGGGCAAGCGCGGACCGAGCCTATCATGTCGGTGCAACCTCTTAGGTTTGGTATCAGCTTGCCAGTCAGGTCTTTCATCTGTTTTCAGCTCAGCACAGTGTCGTGCTCGGAGCGTTCATACCCACTATGACCACTGGAGCCGCACACCACTGTTACCAGCCCTCGGATACAGTGTCTGTAATCATGCATAAGTGGAAGCGCCCTGCTTGCCACTAATCTGTTCAAGACGTGACGGTAATCCCGGTAACCAGTCTCACCGCCTAATGGATCCCCTCTGCCATTCCGCCCGTGTATAGTGACCTCCACTTCTTTCCACAGGACGGAGGATGGTGGGTGGTTAGGTGGGCACGCACCTTGAGAGTTGAGACAAGAGAATGAGAGAGAGGATGTCGAACCCACTCTATCTCTCTCACAAGCGCGAGGACAACTTTCCCATCGCCACTTTAATTATTTTTGCTCCATCATCCCATGTGGCCGGGACCTTCGATGCCCCTTCGTATGAGCTCCAGTAGAAGGTCTGATCCATGGAAAGGACACAGTTGGCGGCCCCGCCGACCCAATGAAATGCGAGCAAAGCGCCTCCGTATCAGCAGCGCAATTCGAGCCCCGGTACACATGCCGCTCACCGCACGGTAACTCAAGGTATTTATCGCCGGAACCGAACATCCTCCGAGCGACCCAACCACTGGGTAGTAAGGACTAAGTAGTGCGTTACCGCTGAACCATGAACCGACAAGAGAAGAAAAGGGAACCTAAATTCACCGGGATTTGGTGCCCATGGTCCCCGCGCCGTGTGCCAATCAGCTGCCGTGCGACTACGGTTCGGAGCGCTCCTTTCCCTGCTGGACCCAACCACAATCGAGGCGTCGGTAACTCAAGGGCTTCTCCTACGCCAATGGGATAGCGCCGCGGCTGTCGCTTAACCTTTGGGACTGACTTGCATCACTCCGTGCCCACCTCCGTTCCCACTCGTAAAAACGAGCTGCTTTTTGCGGGGACATTCTTTAGTCGAGTAATGGATTCTCTCTTTCGCCCTCTCTTTCTTACTTTCTCCTCTCTCCTTTCTCTCCACTTGGATCAACTTTCCACTTTTAATAATTTTTTTTCTCTTCCTTTCAGAACAAATGGTATGCGATCTAGCCTGTGTGTCTTTTTATCATTCGTCCAGACGGCAGAAAATTATTTCTACTACTATTTTTTTTTTGGCCCCCAAACACCGTTACCCCATGGCTTACGTACAAATCTGAGCAAATCGAGTAGGTGAGTAGTAGTCTATTTAGTACGTAGTTAGTTCAGTAAGTAGTAGTATAGGTAGTCTGACTTGACTACTACATTCGGTAATCAGGTAATATTAACGATTTAACGTAGTACGTAGTGGGGTTTTCTGTTATGGAAGTTTGCCTCTTTCTTTACCCCTTCCACCGGATCTAGATAGTGTGTGTGGCTTCTTCTTCTTCTTTCTCTTCTTCTTCTTTTCTTTCTTCTCGTATAGTTAGTCTAGTCTAGTCTAACTCAAGCCACATAAACCCCCTCATTTTCTATTTAATTAGACTTCATTTAATTGTATCCGACTTTATTTGATATAATTCTATAGATAATGATTTTGCATTCAAATCTCTTCTTTTGTTTGCGTATCGTATTGGAGAGTACTACGTAGTACTTAATATGAAGGAACTTCAGGTATGGATGAAACATGGATAACCCGCGCCTCGGACCGTATACCCAGCGAATCCTATTTTCTTTGTGTGTCAGGTTCGTTCAAGAAAGATAGAAGGAATCCATGGCAATGGTTTTGGTTTCCAAGGAAGGCACACATACTACGGTATCCCTTTCCGCGCAAGATTAAAATCTGGAGTTTCTACGGAGTATGTACGGAGACTAAGCTACTAAGGCTAGTAGTACTACTACATATGAACATGGGAGTAGTAATTTGGTAGCGTTGCAACATTAAAATATGGCGATACGTAGTGATATGGTGATGATGATGATGGTCACACCTAAAACTAAAGTCCCCATACCACCGTTATCAGGATTTTCAAGGTTCCGTGACCCAATCGTAATTCTGAATGGTCAGGGCTAATTTCGCTATTGGTTGAAAATCGCAATTTCTTTCTTTCTTTCTTTATTTCTTCAAAGCAGTGAAGAAAGAGAGTTTCCATCCATGGTGGTCCTTACCCCCTTTCGGGGCAATGGGACGGTACATCCGCCGCGCGC